TTAGCCTTGCTTTATTATCTAGCTATAATTTAATTATTTAAAGCTAGGCTAAATTACATGCCTTAGGCCTTTTATAGCTAGCTAAAACTAAACCCGCAGGACGCGCCACTACCTATAACACTATTTTTTAGGAAATACTTAATAAATTTAAAAGTTATGTTTTAACCTACTCCTAGTATACTAATAATATTATATTTTTTAACTTACCAGCCCCAGGAGCCCGCCACTAAAAATAAGTAAGTATAACTAATTAAAAATTAGCTTATAGTGCTGTAGTCTTGCATATATTAATAAATATAAACTAAATATTTATTACCAGCATTTTGCGTCCACCTAAATATAAAATAACTAGCTAATTAAAAAGACCGCTATCACGCGCTGCTAGCCGCTAAGTAATAAAAATAATTACCTAAAAGGTATTATAAAATAGCGTAACTAACCTAGCGCAGGAAGTTACTAAAAACCTATATTTATTTAAGTTTATAAAAGTATTAGCCCTGCCTATTAAAAGTAAAAACACCTGCCATTATATACAAGTATTAACTATTATTAATTTTATAATTAAAATTAGTAAAAAGTAAAGCGCCACCCTACAAGCACGCACCCTGTAGTAAATTTATAAAAAAATTATACTAGTACTAAAAAAAAAGTGCTAGTATATATACCACCTTTATATAAAATAACTAGGGGAAAAGATTAATATAAAAACTAACTTACTTAATAAAGTGCTGCGCCCTTGTATTAAATTTATTTTAAAAAACTATTTAAACCTAGGTAATATTATAGCAAGCAAGGCTTGCTTTACGTGATTTTAATAAAAAGTTTAACCTTTATGCCCTAAAAATATATTAAAAATTTACTAGTATAATTATAAATATCCCTAGCTTCCTAAGTTATTTTTATACCTTAATATTATAAAAATCGCCTGTGGTACCCTTCCCAGTAATTTATAAAAAAAAAACTATAAGGGAATATTTAATAACCACGGATTTATTAATATTAATAATCTTTTTAATTATTTAGCTAAAAAACTTAAAAATTTAATACCTAAGGGGTATAAATTAAACACCTAATTTTTAAACCTTGCCCGGGAAAAAATAAATATTTATTTTTATTACTTGCGCAAGTATTAAAAAGCACTAAACTATAGCTAGCTATAAAATACTTATTATACTATTATTTAATAACTTATGCGCTAGGACCTATTTTATTAGGCCTAGTATATTATATTAAGGCCTAATTATAAGTACTAACTAATTTTATATTTATATTATATAAAATATGCCCAGCAAGAAGACCACACTTACTTTTAATATATAAATATTAATATTAACCAAGCGCTTTAAGATAGACAGGAAGTAAATATTATTTAGGGATTATTATTACTAAATATAAAAAATAATAATAACTACACCAAGGTTTTGCTAGGTATATATTAAAAAAATAAGATAAAGGCATGGCTAGCACGGGTAAAGGCGCGAGACAGCACTAATAACCTTTTTAATTTAATTAACCGCGTGAAAAATAAAAAGTAAACTAAAAATAATACTAAATACTTTTATATAAACTAAAAAAAAAACCCTTACTTATGGCTTATTATTTAAATTATATACTTACTAGTACCGCACGGATTTATTAAACTAGCTATAAAAATAAGGTGTATAATATTACCCTAGTATATTACCATATTAGCCAATTATTAAATACTTAAAATAGTAAAAAAAGGCATTTAAAAAAAATTAACTACTATATATTATAACCTTATGCCCGGCCCTACCTTCCTGTTTAGTTTTTTAAATTATTACTTAAAGATTTTATAATTATTTACCCTAATTATCCAACTCCAGGGGCTGGAAGCTATTAGTAATACCTTAGTAAAATATTATAAATAAGATTTAGCCAAGGTAGTTAATAAAATAAAGCTAGCATTTAGCCTAAATATATTTATTAAGCGTAACTTTTTTAAGTCCTAAAGAAAAAAAGCCATTTTTATTACTATAAATATATACATGTGGTTTTAAAAGCTAAAATAAAAATACTTTAGTAACTTTAGCTATAATTATTATAAAATAATATTACCCCCTACCCTTATTCCCGCCCACGTGGCCATGGCTATTAAAAAAGTGCTAAATAAAGCTAAGCCGCCTGTTAACTATTATTAGTGCTTCTTGCCCCGGCGGAACTAACAAGCTTTAAAATATATTTATTAAACTACTTAATTATTACCTATACACGACACTAATAAAAAAAAAAAAAAAAATAAAAAAAATAAAAAAAAAGGCCTAGTAAAGGCTAGCTAAGTAAAGTATAGCTAGTTATTATACTTTAGGATACTACCTTAGGAAAGAATAAAAAATATAAGTAGGGAGAAGTCTTGCCTACCGGCAAGTTTTAACCCCCTTTTAAAAAAATATAATAAGGTTACACCCTAATATTAATTCTTATAGTATTTATAGCCTTGCTACCGGCCTTTTATACCTAGTTTATTATTTACCCTAATATATACGTTTTCTTTTCTACTATTATTCCTACCTGTACTACGTACTGTCCAGCCCTAGGTTCCTGCCGCCGTTTGGCTCCTTTAGCTCCCATGCCCTAGTACTGCCCCTCCACAATAACATGTAGTTTTTATAGTATTTTAGTTCTTAGTATTTATAAATAAGAAATTTTTTTTACACATTTTCTAGGATTTTTTAATATAAGTATTTTTTATACTAGTTATTCTTGTATTTATAAGGTAAATATTTTTTAATTTAATTTAGTAACTATATAAATTACTTAATAGTTTACTATAATTACTATTTTATATTACCTTATTTAATAAGTAAATTATTAACAAGCACTGTTTTATTATTAATTATTTTAATTAGTATATTAAAAAATTTTTTTTAGGTAAATACAGGTTTTACCTTGCGGATATTAAACTATTTATATTAATAGTTTTTTACTAAAAATTTAATAAACTAGGATATTTTGCAAGTATTATTAGGATAGTAAGTTAAAAAGGTTTTAAAATATGTTTTTATATTTAGTTTTTAATTATTAAATTTCTTAATATTATTTGCTTGGTATGGTTTTGCAAATAATAATTTTTTTAAAAATTTTTTTTTAAGGCACGCAGCTATTACTATAATTAATTTTATAATAATTTTTTTAAAATTTACAAGGGTGTTAAAGTTTACTTAACAAGAAATTATTAATTACTTAATAAATTAAATAAGGGTATTACATATTTATTAATTAGCTTTAACTATTATAATTTATTAGCATGCCTTTTTAATTTAGGTATAAATTTATTAGCATTTTTTTTTTTTATAATATTCTTATTTTTATAATTTTTTTTTTATTAAAATTATATTTAGTATTACCTATAGCTTTTTAGTAATTTTTTTATTATTTTTATTTTTATATCCTTAAGTAAGTGCTTCGCGCTTTAATATTCCCTATATAATTTAATTTTTATTTATAAAAATACCCTTAGGCTTTTTTAGTTAAAAGTTTATAAATTTTTTTTTAGGTATATTAGTTAATTATTAAGTTAAGGTTTATAATTATTTTTTTAAAGTATTATTTACTAGCCCCTGGGATTAAGTTTACTACTTAGCTATTATATAAAATAAGTTTTTTTTTAAAAAAAAAATAATTAAAATTATAAGGTGCTTTTATATACTATACTAAGCTTAAAAAAATATAAATTATTATAATAAAAAAGTGTTATATATTTATAGTAAGAATTAATTACTAATTTTTTAAGTTAAAGTTTTAAGTTAAACTTAGTATTTTATATATTACATAACTAACCACCGCCTTAGCGCGCGATTAAATTAACACCAAAGTTTCTTTATTAGGTGGCCTTAGGCCGCCGGATTGCGTTATTACAACACTGCGCAGTTGTAACACTATAGCAGTGATAACAATACCTTAATATTATATTAGTTTTAATATTAATATAGTTTATATATATATATATATTATATATAAGCCTTAATATACTATTAATATAGTATTCAATACCCTTTTCAACTAATAAATATTTAGTTTATATTAAAAATTTTAATATATATTAGAAAGCCAAATACATATCAGACTTGTATAATATATATCCAGATTAAATAATATATATTTTATTAAATAAATATATACTTTTTTAGGAAAAAATATATATTAATTAAAAATATATATTAAATTTTTCATATATATTATTTTAAATATAAATTATATATATTATATATTATAAAACTAAATATATATATTTAAAAATAAGATATATTAATTTAAATATAGTATTAGTACTATATTTTATCTTAATATAATATTATAATAATATTTATAATTAATATAATATTAGGGCTATACTAGCACTATACTAAAAACACCCCCTCCGCCGGCACGGCAGTTGTGCCGCTTCAGGCAGCATAGAGTCCGTCCATTATTTGGGTTTGAACATCAGCTGCAATCGGTATAGAAGCGCCTGCATTGAATGCACTGTAGACCACCCTGACACCCCTTTTACGTACCGATTACCTTTAGTTCTGTCCATGGAGCGCCGTCCTACCTGACCTATTGTACCGATAATCATTCTTACCCTTGCATAGATAGCCTTACCCATGATGCTCACAGGCTTTCTCTGAGACTATCAGATGCCATACTTCCTCGGGCTATAGCGAGTATGTCTCATGCCTGACCAGGCAAGCGTGGTAACCCCCGGCCTAGAGGACAATAAAATGGAGAACTTGTTACACGCACAAAGACCTGCGTTGTGTCTTTCAACAGGATGCATTCGATTCATTCAATCCATGTTACAATGAAATTCATTGCATGCGTCCTTTATCTATTCCTCTTTGGTGTTTGCCTTTCATCTCACCAGAACAATGGACACCTCGTATAAAATATCAACCAGCAGTATTATTACTATGGTAGCCATCTGCAATAGTCAAAGCCCAATCCACAGCTACACCGAAACACCTGGGAAGGTACCTCAGTACCTATATGCAGCAACCATGCAACCAAGCTACGAATGCACCCTCTGCGATACATTCGCCCGCCCCTTCTGCTTCACAGACCATCCCCGCCTCCTCATCCCCCAGGTCCCCTACCTCCACTACATCGGCCCCCTCGCCCACAGGGCCTCTTACCAAGAAGAGCTCCACCGAGCAGCCGACCCATCATACGACGAATATTTCCCACTAAATACAGACGAAAATGGCCTGCCCCTGGTCTCTCTCCCCGGTCGTCCACAGGGAAGTATTGGGGCGCGCCCACCAACTCCGGATCCGGGGCCGGGCCCGCTGACGCGTGAGGATGAGGACGCCCAAGCGCAGTGGGTGGTGTTAACTCCGGAGTTCGCACAGCAGGCTGTGTCTCCTATTGCTAATGCCATTGAGCCTGCTGACGAAGAAGGTGCAGCCGAAGATACGGAATACGACTACGACTCAGATGACTCCATGACCTTCCCCGGCCGGCCCACCGCGACGCCAGACGAACTGCGACACCTGCGCGACCGCGTTGTGTCTGAGCTTGACCTGGCAAGAGGCGAGTTTGAGCGGTACACGCGTGCGTCGGGCACGGCTGCGGCGTCGTTGGTTGACCTGGCGCGGGACGTCCATGGGGTTGAGGCGATGCTTGCGGAGGCTGAGAGCCCTGGGCCTGAGACAATTCTGTTGGCTGAGGAGAGCGTCGCGCAGTTAACGGCCCGTTTCGACGATATGTTGACAGTCTATATGCGGGTTCAGAGGAGGTTGGATGAGTTGGAGGCCGAGATTGCGGATGGGGAGTTTTGTTTGGAGCATTTGGATGCGAGGATGGGGGAGTTTGGGCGTGAACCGTAACTAGAGTAATTGATTCATCCTTTGCATGATGTTTTGTCTTGTCTGTCCTCTTTCCCTAGTACTACTTGTTATTGGCTGATATAATACGTACTACTTGAGTTGATTTATAATACCACACGTTGTCATATAGCAAGCGAAGTTTTCCTCTCCTGTATTGGACCCACGTTCTGTAGAGCCCTGAGCATGCTGGAATGTCCGGTTGTAGACAGTGATAACACTGAGCAGCTTGGCAATCTGGTTGACATGTCTTCATCGTCGCCTTGTGTGCGCTGTCTTGACCCCTACTGAGTCCCTTGCCAAATGCACCTGGATAAAGCAGGACACGCCTGGTGTTAGATCACTACTCGTAATGATCGTAAAAGCTTGCAGCCTGTGGGAAAGCGAGCCGCTATCCTCAGAGGCTGTAGATCAGCGTCATCGCAGTTTACGGTGGTGATTATCTGCCCCTCAGCAGTAACGTGGCAATCCATGGATGTATTACATGGAGTTCCGACATATTGATATATCATATGCTGATCGTGGGGAAAAGAGAGTCGATAATAAAGCCTGTCTTCCAATGCTAAGATATCACCAGGTATGGTACCACTAAGTAGTAAATGGTCTGGGATACAAACCTGATATGTCTTCCCACTAACCAATCCCACCTTTATCTTTTTTTTAGCCGCAACTATCCAATATAGCCCACCCAAGCAAAGCTAAACCTTCTCCGCCTCCTCCAAACTCTGCTTCCCATTTAACTTCGGATTCCGAATACACAGCGCAAAGACAATAAGCGGGACCGTCAAGCACAACCCCGTAATGCATAGCAGACGCTGCGTATCCATATACGCGGCAACAACCGCGTCTCGATCTGGTGTTCCGACGGGGTTCCCGAGAGCGAAGGTAAACGGATCCGCGTATATTTCCGCTGCAAGTGTTGAGTTCCCGTTGAGTCGGTCGGTGAGCTTGGAGGGGAGCGTCTGTGACCAGATAGCCCCGGAGATGGAACCACCAACCGCGGAACCGATGTTGTATGAGGAGAGGAAGAGCGCGGTTATGATTGCGAGGTCTGATTTGAATGACTGTGTCAGTTGAGGTTGAAGTGGCATCAGGGTTCGCCAACTTACGTTCGTGCTTGGTCGCAGTTTGGATACTTGCTTGTGCTGGGTAGGGGAACATGCCACCGGCTTTTCCCGAGTTTCAAGATTAGCACGCGGATTTCAAGCGACTGGTTGAACGTGGCCATTAAGGGGGACAAGGAGACTCACCAATACCCAGAATAACCTCTCCAGCAACAATCCCAGCATAACTATCACCACTCGCCCCGCCGCGGTAGCGATACAATATGCCAAAGGCTACAGTAAACAGGCACGTCCCAGCCACGATGAACGGTTTCAGCCGCCGGACCTTGATGACGATTGCGCCGAGTATGCATCCCGTTATCACGGAGGCGAAACTATAGCAACCGTTAGGAAAGACCGGGATTAGGGAATTACCGCTTACCTGTATAAAGACGAGATTCGCGTTGCGCTGAGAATACTCTCATCAAATGAGACAACCAGCACGGTGTAAAGATAGTTTCCTTGCAGGGACCATGCTATTTAACGCCGTTAGAGCCTACTCTATTACTTTGAGAAGGCCAGGCGCATACCAGTGTTAAGCATGACTGCAATGCCAATCGCACCCCAGATGGCCCTGTCTTTCAGTAACTACCCGACATATCCCTATTAGTCACCCACGAAAGAACGAATGTAAACATGATATAGACTTACTCGGAATGGAACCATTGGGAAGCGACACCTGCTCTCCCACGTAATCCAAACTGGAATACAGAGGACTCCAATAACAAGCGGCGCAATGATCTTAGCCTGCTTCCACTGTTCCGAGCTGCCGCCAGCCAGCGTGAAGGGCACGAGGATCAGCGCGAACACGGCAATGAGAAGGATAATACCAAGTACATCCATGCGCCAGAAAATGTCGAGGGCGAATCGCTTCGCCCCCTGGATCTGGATGAGGCTCGGGTATGCGGTGAGCTTTTTGGCTTTGGTGTGGCCGTAGAGGAGGGTTAGGAAGAGGGGGATTGAGCAGACTAGCAGAGCCTATAGTCAGTATTACCGCAATCTTTCGCTAGGGGTAAGTGAGAGCACAAACCAGGGAAGATGATGCTGAACATTCCAATCCCCCATCGCCAGCTCGTCACCTTGAGTACGGCGTCTGTCAGGTTCCCGCCGATCCAGGTGTTGATCTATCAAACAACCATTAGCCAAATGTTTTCGATGCAAATCAGATAAGCCAAGGATCCTCACGATAAAGGGCGTAGCCGGGATATAAGAGAACAGAAGACGCGATCGGGTCGAAGTCGTATCTCCAATCAACACCTCGACTAGGAACATAATCCCAGTATACCCGACCTATAACCGATCAGTGCTCTCAATTCACGCAAATATATGGATTGCATCACTCGACGAACTTGATAAATCACCGCGCCGGCGCAGAAAGTCTGAACATTATTCGCAGCCGTCTCGATTACGGTCCCTGGATTGCGCAAGGTGAGCATGAGTGTCCGTCCAACAACAATATATACCAGAATAATCATACCAAGCGTATAGAAAAACACAGAGAAGAAAATCAATTCGACCCGGCCAAACATATCCGCGATTTTTGCTGCCGTGGGCTGCGACCCTTCGTCAGTTCACTGCAAATAATCCCACAAACCAATACACACCTGCGCCGCGGCCGCAATGACATTGCGAAGAACCTGCACCGTTGAAAGAAGACTGTGCGTTCCGTAGCTTGCGGTTGCGAGGGGCTGAGCATGTAAGCCAGCGTTAACAGATCGCGATATCCTGACGAGAACAGGGAGTATGTCAAATACGCACCTGGTAAGTATTCCTCACTCCACCATCAAGACCGTAAACGTAGGCAATGAGCCATATCCCTGCAAACATGCAAATGCGCCCGTAGAGACCAAGTTGTGTGTTGATTAGCTCGATGCGTTTGACACCCGGGCTTATTTCCGGGACGTTGGCATCCGGGCCGGGGCTGGATGGGGAGAATCGGGTGGCATTAGGGTCCTTGATGGGCTCCGTGATGGACGCATGGCCCGCTCCTTTCCACTCTGATGCGGCGGCCATCTTGGTGAGTGACTGAGTGAGAGACAGAAGATGCCTGGGACAGCGAGATCCGGAGAAGTGGAAAAGCTGACCTTGCAGGGGAGCCCCCTTACATATAGCTGGAGCTGTAACCAGCGGAGTCGCCACCTGCACGAACCACATCACACCATCTTATCAGATCATCAGATGGGTATGCAATTAACAAAAAAGTCTGACGGTGCCCACCGCGGCGAATCAGGGTTGTCGAGCGCTCGTATTCGGCCGCCCGGTTGCTCTTGGCTGCGGCAGGGCACTGAGCAACCAGGAATATCGTCCGAGACAGGGCATTCAGCCTTGGCGTCTGGAGTCTAGATCTTGTTAGATGGGCCCCTGTCAAATCTGTGCGCCGGAGTGGTGAGTCTCGTGTTTTACTATACACCTTTCAAACTAATTGTAGAACCTAGGATGTAAATGCATCTGGTATCAAGCCGAGCGTCATGCAGGATAATTATGCTGATCATGCGGTACTGGCCGGCCTCATGGTTTGCAGTAATGTTGAAGTTTAATAGCGAACAATCAGACCAGAACCGGGGTGGACAAGACGCCTGCCATGGGTAACAGACATATCCATATCTCGCGCCATTTCTATTTCTTAACCACGTTCGTTAACATTATCACAGCCTTCTCATTTCATGGTACTTAGGATAAGCGACTGTCCAGCAGATACACCTAACCATTTCGACGTGATTTTCACATTTCCAAAGAGATATTCTTTCGAACCCGAAAGGAATCAATGGGTAAACGGAACAAAGAGTAAAAGATCATTATCTTCCTTGTTGTTGACATGAAAGGCCTTTCATCTTATTCGTATGCCGAGTACATGTCCTGTCGATGGTTGAAAGAGAAATCTGCTTTCCACTTCACATGTTGAGAAATAGATTGGACATTATCTTGTCCTTACGATGAAAGGCCTTTCATGTTATCCTCACGCCGAATGTATGTGATATCGAAGGTTGAATAGAAGATGCGCTTTGAACCTCATCTGTCGAACAAGGACAATGGACATCGTTCTCTCAACGGTGAACAATCTCTGATATCAATTGTTCAATGATGATGGCTAGTCGCGGAAGATGAGTCTATAAAAGAGAGCCATCGTCCGATGCATAATCTCATCTCATCATCACACTTGATTCTCTCCCAGAGTACCTCAAGTGTCTAGCATAGCCTACATGTCTCAAAAGCCCACCATGTCTCAGCAAACCGTGTACTGCCCCATCTGCGAGGCCCCCGCGGTCGAAATCTGCCACAGCGAGCACCTGGTCGAGGCCAAGCCCTCGACCGTGAGCAGCCCCGAGCTCTCCGCAGCGCTATTCGAGTCGTTCACGACCTTCACCGACACCCTCCAATGCGATACATTCGACGAGAACCTGCAGCCCCTCACGCTATGCAGGCAAACGGAAGCCGAGTTCCGCGCGCAGATGGACGAGGTCTGCCAGTTCATCGACCTGAACCCGGCGTTCGACCTGGATTTCGAGGATGCCGTGGCCGCCCAGGCTGGTGCACGTCCGGACACAGCACCCATGGTATCTGAGTCTGGCGTCGTGATTGCACCTCCGTATGATCGTGGTCTTGATCCTTCGCCGGAATTCTCACCTATCACTCCTTCGAATTCGCCTCAGTTCTCATCTGCCTCTCTGCCTGTCCCTCCCCCTGCCCCTGCCCCTGCCCCTGCACCTCGATCCGCTCCCTCCCCCAAGGGGAACGAGGTCCCCGCGCGCCTCCCGCAGCGCAGGAGCGTCCGCTTCAACCGAGCCGTCACAGACAAAGACAGTGCGGGGTATATCGACGAGGTCAACAAGATGCAGATCCGCGCCTGGCAGGCACAGAAGGACATTGAGGCCTCTGTGGCCACGCTTAAGCTGAAGGGCGAGCGTGCCAAGATGTGCGATAGGGCGCTTAACACGGTGCGAGGGAAGGTCCAACAGTGGGAGCAGGAGAAGGAGGCCGGGAAGGTTGATCTGAAGGAGGGGAAGGAGATTATCCTCAACTTGGAGAAGTTTGTGGCCAACATGAAGTGGGATTTGGCGAGGAGGGATTGGAAGGGGTAAGCTGTTTAACGCTCTTCTATCTCGACCTTCCCTGTCATAACTTTCCCATGTTAAGTTGTTGTTTAGTTTTGACTTTGCTACCTAGTTACTTACCGCAGTCTCTCGTTTTATGCTATACTTCAATACAATATCTATTGCTCACTTTGTGCTCACAATCAAATGAACTAGCTCGAATAATTATTTCTTTCTTTCCCTTCCATATTTTAGTAGAGACGCTACTCTCATATTAGAGGACATTACCTTACCTGCGATTTTGGGATGCAAAATGGCCGGTTTATCGATGCCTTGTAAGATAGGTACTGAGGTCCCAACCTGAGGGCAAGGCCATTTACAAAAGTCTGCAAACAATTTGTCAAGTGATAGGCTAGTCATACCTTTGTGCAGAAACATGAAAGTGCATTGACACTCACTCAACCATACCATCACGAGGTCAAATGCTGAAACAATGGACAAAGAATCCCCATCAAAGACGTCTCACATTTATGATCTCGCCTTCGAACCCAGGCTATATATAATAACCCCCCTCGCCCCCTGACATCCAGCCCCGGAACCATCTACCAAGTACGACGAAACCGCCACCGAACCCCAGCATACATGGCAACACAAACTTTCCTCTGTAACAACACCTCCTTCAACTTCAACTGCACCGTACCCGGTATGAATAAGACTCATACACCTGCTACCACCTGCCCCGTGTGCAAGGTTCCCGCCTCTACCTTCTGCCACAAGTTCGGTCACTTCACTAGTAAGACCAGCTCCGGATCAGGAACTGATGGAGATGGCGATGTCCCCATGGATGGCTCCACCTGTACCTCGTGGAATCCAACTCGGCCGTCTCACACTCAGCCACTGAAGGACATCGATAACGACGTTATCATGGGGAACACAGACACGGGGATTAGCCTTAGCAGGGCGGGAAAGCAGCAGGTCTCTTTGTCCACGGACACAGCGGACAAAATGGACATAGATACGTGGACCGTAGGCGCGAGCGGGAGTATGTTCACGAGTATGTTATCAGGCGGACAGAAGCCAGCGGCAAAGGTAAGCGTCGATGCAATGCAGATTGACCCGCCCGCATTCAATCTTTTCAATCCGAAGCCTTTTTGCCAAATGGAAGGGGCGGTCCCGAGTAGGATGCCGTCGAAACCAATATATGCCTTGAGAGCTGGCAGGTTTGCCAGGATGCGGTAGACCTTTTATATACCCCGTAGGTGAGACTGACTACAAGTAATTACAATAATATAGGAAATTGCATGTTGTTCAAACGAAGATTATACTTCGGATGTATGGTAATAGCTGAGCCCTCGGTAAATTGAAAAGACGGTAGATATCGACGCCCTATGGCTGGATAGAACCAGAATTTCACCTATGGCTTTTTGAAGTGTACTCGTAGCATACCTAGATCGCTTTGCTGTGCCCGTATCCGATGGCACCCAAAGGTACGCGTCAAGCAAATGTATAGGCATCGACCTTCCAACTCGTCGGTGGCCATTTCCTCCAGCAACGATAGGAAGTACACCGGGGCCTGCAAACCGATTTGAACCCTTATTTCCCTGGCACTGTGGACAAAATTAAGGTGCATATGCGGGTGGAAGCATTTGAGATGCTGATATGGGTAATCTTGCATCTAATTTATAATCATTACGATTAAGAGAAATTGAGATGCAGAGAAACCATATTGGCCATCTCGTTATGAAGGGTTTTCTATCCTACAGCATTCATAGAATAAGCTATCTGAGGATGTAAACAGAGAATCGGCCCAGTTGGTGCCCGGTCGGATCTATCCGAAGATATCGGACATACTCCGACGGCACATCCGCTGTTGGCAGAAGTACTTGTCAGTCATGATGGCTCGACTGATATGTTTATAGACCTCAACACACCCAGAGATTGTTAGTATTTGCGACTACCTGTAGGCGATGTATAGGATGTAGTCGCAAGGTATAAACGAATTGATATTGTCCCCGTCTTGTCTTCTTGAGATTGTGTACATAGTGGAAATCAGGATATATATGTTCCCCAAATGTTCGAGCCTTCTGAATTGATCCAGCCCGTTGGGTTAAATATGATGCGGACGGGTGTAGTGGTGTCAGTACCTGATCACATGGAATGAGATATTATCTCAGTTGACCAGACCATCTACCAGCTTACCACAACCCCGCCGCACCATGTCCCACACTGCCAGTGAATGTATGATGGATATGTGTTCCTGTGCCGTTGAGGAGACTATATCTCGGCCGATGATCGAAACTTGATCCTGACGGCAGGCAACGTATTCCGTCTGATAGAGCCTCCCGGCCAAGAGACAAACGTGCTCGGCATCATCCTCCGTTTCGAATTCCAAAACGGATCGCAATGGTTGAAACACCCTGGCCATTGAACTTTGCCTTTCGCATCTAGAAGGGCCGTATGCCGTCATACCGCGGTCGAACCACAGGATCCAGCGGGGATGTTCTCCTAACCCCGGACTATGACTCCCTCCACACTTCACCATGACGCGACCGTCGAGAACATCATCGATGGCGATGAGAATACCTATGATCGAGCGCCATCTGCTGCAGATGTAGGATACAGCGATCATGCAGACGTAATGTCGGCCTTCCATGTAATCGAACCACAAGATCGACGATCGGCCAATCAAAACCCTCAATTCTCGATCCCCCGGATACACCATCATGAGGGCACGATGACGACCACAACCCCAGACAAGCTATATAAGTCGTGGTTGAAGGCTCAGTGTTCGAAATCATCAAGTCAACTACTCTCAAGCAAACAACCTCTCCATCAATCTACACTCAACTATTCCACTACAAGCAAAATGCAAAACGAACACGGCCAGGGTATGTCCCACGCCACCGGCGGCTCCAAGGTGCCCCAGCGCGCCCAGGAGAAAGTCCCCCAGGGTCTTGAGGAGTCCCTGCCGAACAAGGTACGTTGGCCCTGACATTCGAATGACAGCACTGACGCGCTTCCAGGTCCACGACACCGGCTCCGGCACCGGCCGCAAGACTCACGCCCTGAACGACGGCGAGGACTCGATCGTCCCCAAGGGTCTGCAGAAGGCTGTCCCTGAGGGCCTGGAGCGCGCCTTGCCGAACAAGATCCACAACACTGGTGATGAATAGATTTTGTCTCGATGTCTATCGATGATGATTATGTCTCATGTTATATATGATGGGAATTGGACGTTTTTTATGATGTACTGTATATTAGAGAATTTGGAATGATTTTGGATGTATTGATTCAATTCTATGTCGGTGATAGCAGTAGCACTCGGTTAGCAACGCCCTGGTGTCATGAGTATGGTTGCCAGCCGGTAAGTGTTGGGTTGGGCTGGCAGATTTCGCCCAAGTTTACTGACATCATTCGGCGCCATGCGATGCTTACCATGCAAGTCAAACAAAGACCTTCATCTCCATGTTAAAAGTCATGGACCATCCAACTCAATATAATATAAATGGATTCGGTTGAGGTCCTGACACCAGCACGCTCCGCATTATAGCATCTCTCCGCCTGAACAGACCTACAGCGAATCCCATGATAGGACTGGCTTGATCACCTGTAGTATGCAACGATTAGTACTCTCCCCTATCCAGTCTTTTTTATGCGCGATAAGGCCTTACCTTGCCTGCCTTGAGATCCTCTAATGCCCTATCCAGCTCTGTGGCAGGATAGATCTTAACGATCCTGTCTATGGGAAATTTGCCCTCTTTGTACCACTGTACGAGCAAAGGAACGATCTGTCCGACCATGATTGTCAGCATTCAAGTCGGCTGAGATCCCATCTCCAACACGAACAACATACCTGCTGCGGATCCGACCACGCCTCAATAACCCCAATGATCTTCTTACACCCCGTCAAGATATCCAACGCATTAACCCTGAGCTCCGTATCAGGCGGCATAGCCCCAACAAGCGCAAACGTGCCCCCAACCCCCAGCGCACCCAACGCCGCCTGCAACACCCTCCCCACCCCCGTCGTATCAATAATAAAGTCCGCACCAGCGGGAAAATACCTACGAACCGCAGCCCCAAGATCCCCATCTTCCTCGCGGAGCGTATTAACCACATACTTCGCCCCAAGCTGCCCCGCAAGCTCCAACTTCGCAGCCACAATATCAACAACCACAATATTCGTCACACCGAGCGCCCTCGCCCCCAAAAGCGCCGCAATACCCACAGCCCCCACCCCCAAAATCACCATGCTCGAATCTCTTCTCGGCTTGAGCACATTCACCACCGTCCCCGCGCCCGTAAGATACCCGCACCCCATCGGCGCCAGGGGTCCCAGCTCATCATCCCCAAACCCCAGCGACGCATCGCACTTGACGACGCTGCGCTCCGACACAACCGCCATCCTGGCCAGCGACGACTGCCCGAAGAACTGCCCGTGCACGGGCGTCCCGTCGCCCAGGGAAATCGGCGACGGCTTGGAGGCGTCGAGCCGCGTGCGCAGGAAACTGAGGGCCTGGCTCTGCGTGCAGGCGCCGCCTTGGCCCGCGAGACAGGGCGCGCAGGCCGTGCATGTGCGGAAGCTCAGGAAGACTTGGTCGTTGAGTGCTAGGGATTTGTTGGAGACAGAGGCCCCGAGGGCGCGGATTACGCCGCACCCTTCGTGGCCGAGGACGGCGGGGAAGCTGCCGATTGGCATTAGGCCGGCTTGGACGAGGAGGTCCTGGGTGGGTGTTAGTTGGAGAGGAATTGGGATGGGGGTGGGTGGGTGAGTGACTGGGACGGACGGTGTGGCATAATCCGGTGAATTTCATTTCAATCAGCACCTCGTCTGGCTCGAGGTGGTCGAGGATGACGTCTTTGAGGACGAAGGGGCCTCCTTTTTCCTCGACGACGTAGGCTTTTGTCGTTATACTCATTTTGTAGGCTCTCTTGGAGATTGAGATTGCGAGTTCGGTTTGTCTTGGTTTGTAGTCCGGGCCAGGTGTAGCCTATACCCCAGGAAGCTCGAGCCGCAGGTACCAAGTGTCCAGAGGGAATTTGGAAAGCCGGCTCAGAATCTTCAGCGGGGAACAGGTCGGCTGTTGCTGCAGATCCTCCTTTTCCTCCCCGACAAACTGTTCCCGGTGTCGGCCCCACTGCTCGGAGAGGGCCCGAGCCCTAGGTAATCCTACTGTCCTACAAGAGCCTGGCTTTGTTTGAAAATGATGATGCTCAATAAGACAGCAGCGATCCAGAGAAAGCATCACTATACGGTAAACCGGAATAGCATGTCCTACTAGAGACGAGTTTCGGTAGTGGGCAGCACCGAAACAGAAATGGGATGTTTTTCCGGGCATGGCCTCGCAGGCGGAGAAGGCCGTATATTCCATTTGTCTGAGCTCGACCTTGCTTGGTAGGCAATATAACTCATGACCTTGCGGGGTGACTGTGCAAGGGTCAAGTCGTGCCCAGTCAGACTTAGGGACCTACTATACGATCACTAGGAGGGAGCTTAGTAGGTCCCGCTGACCATTCACAGGACGAAGCTGGAGCCATGACCAAGACAGTAATCCAGCATCAATGAAGGCAGAAAGTAGCTCACGACAAAGTTATGGATAAAATCACTTTTGGAAATAATAGCTTACCAACCTACCTAGCTGGGTAGACCCCCTCCAGCCTAGTACCCCTGCCCACAATTCGCCGCCCAGCACAGCCCAAACCCAATATACAAGTTCGACCACGACAGCTGCAAACTGCCGGTCCTATACCACTGCCTGTTCTCCACATTGCACAGGCAGCCCATCCACGCCTGGTTCGCCACCATATCCGCCGTGATGTCGTTCATAAAGCCCACGAACCCGTTGTAGTCGAGGTTATCCGTGCCGCCGTCCCACGCCCAGGCCGCGCTCTGCGCCGGATTATACTGCGTGGCGCCGTAGTACATGGCGCCGGGGTCGCCGTACCAATTCCCGAAGAAGCTCAGCTCGGGACAGGAGAGGTCGATTGTGTCGAGGACGCCGAGCTCCACGGAGTCCGTGAGGGTCGAGCATGTTTGGCGGCGCTGGAGGGGGATGGGGAGGCCTTGCCGCCGGTTCTGTTGCTGCGTGTGGATTTCCGAGGCTGTCGAGGCGAGAGGGAGGCCGTAGTATGTTATCGCGGAGCTCTTGTTGTGCGGGTGTGGTTCGTGCCAGAACTCGACTGGTCCGGTGTAGTTGGGACCCCGGCCGATTTGGGCTCCGTCGTAGTGCATTAGGCGCGGTGCGTGGAGTTTGCCGAGATGTATTCGCGCAGTGTCAGGTTGCGGGGGAGGAAGCCGTGCTGGATGGGGAGGGGACTGTCGAGATCGGGCTCGTCGGCTGCGTTGGTGTTGGGTTCGACTCGATTGCTGTTCTTTGTGTTGTCCAAGGACCTGCGCGAGCGCCCGTTGTTGGCTACATCGACGGCGATGTTGTTTCCGATGATGCCGCTGTTGTCGTTAGGTATAGTTGTTTGCATACATGGCGAGATTGCCGGCGACATGGGCGTTGATGAGGGACTGTTTGTACGTGTTCTTGGCAATGGTGACAGATCCGACGTTGGTCTTCATGTACACATTGACCATGCTCAGCAAGGTGATTGTAATGAGCGTGGTACATGCGGCGGTGTTGACCGCGGTGTACTGGGGGTTGTCGTTCAGGCTGAGCGTCAGGGTGCAGGCGATGGAGAACAAGCCCGCCGTGACTCCGGCCGAGAACCAGTACTGGCGTGCGTTGGCGAAGGACGAGATGGTCAGCCCGCGTTCTTCGAGCGCAGGGTCCACCAGGGCCAGTTCGAGCTTGCGGCGGTTCGCTGCGCAGGCTTGGCTCTTTGCAGTGAAGTTCCCGAGCACGGGGCCATATGTCGCCTGGGCGAACGTGTAGTTTGCTTGGAGCGTTCGGCCGTGAGAGAGAAGTTGGTAGGGTACCATCGGGCAATCCAGATCGTCTGTTTGGTTGCGCAGCCGATAATATACCTCGACGTGCGAGGGGGTTGCGTTGCCCTTCAGGCAGGCCTCTTCAGCAAACTCTTCGTAGGAGATGTTATACTTGGTGAGGATCTCCGGGACGGTAGAGGTGTGGTTGAACACAACATTGCTAGCCTTTTGGAACGCAGGGCCGTCGAGGATTCTCTTCCAGGCGTCGTACTCTTGGGTGGAGCGAGCTGTTATGGTGACGTTGGCGAACAAGGAAGGTTGCCGGTGGCCGAGCAGAGGCTGGCACTCAGGGTGACAGCGAGAGAGACGAGGTTGGCAGAGAAGAACATGATAACGTTGTTACTGGGAAGGTATCTGAGCGGCAGGGGAGGAGCGGGGCTGGTCACTTCTTTATAGGACTCTCTATCTGATACACAAGAGCCGACTTGAAGCTTAGCATGTGCTTAGCCCGTCTAGCGGTGCCCTAATTGCGAGTCGCTTCTTCTTGCCCCTTGTCCCTTGTCCCAACGAAGAACTGTTCGAATTATCCTGCTGCCTAGTCTGGCTTTGACTGATTGGTTTGATACAGGCCTGTGTCGCACATGTTCGGGTGGTGCACACCACAGTCAACTGTCTAAGCATCTACGAGTGGGAAAGAGCCAGTCATCAAAAAGGCAGAGCACACATATAGACATATGCCGCGCGTATAAGCCATCCTGATTGCCCGCCCAAGAGGCTAACAGGCTGGACTGTCAGAGGGCGACATCAAGTGGCGTCTACTAACGGTTGACAAACAAGGATAGACTGTACCTATATTGGTGCATCTACACTTCCATGGTGGTCTGAAATCATTGCGACAAGTGTCAATGCCACCTCACTTCCAGAAAATCCTGCCCTCAAACAACCTCCTCGCCGTCCGAAACACCGTCGCAAACTCCAACCGCCCATCGTCCCCAAACGTCGCCCCAACAAGAATACTCCCACTCGCATGCCCGATCGTGATCCCCGATGAATCAACCGGCTCCGCACTCGTCACTTCGGCAACCGTACTCCCCTCCAACCGTGCCGCCGTCGCCAGCGCAAGGGCGACCGTAATCGGGACAGCCTTGTGTGGCTGCCCAACAGACAGCGCGCGAACAACAAGATCAACACCGGACCCTCTTTCCGGCGTCGATACAATCCCAATCTTCGGCACACTCCCTGGAACACTCTCCGGCCCATCCGCAAGCCCCATCTTCGCACCAGCCTGCCGACGTATACTGTCCAGCCGATCCAGAAGACCAGGCGTGCCCGTGATTTCGTCGGGCGTCAGGGTGCCACTCACTCCAAGATCCTGGGCCTTGACAAAGACACACGGATTCGCAACATCGACGCAGGTTGCTTCAACCCCGTCGAAAACGTCCTTGACCCCGTTTGTTGGGAGCAACTTCCCCGTCCGCGAGCCCGCCGGTTCCACGAAATCCAGCTTTATAGCCGCGGCTGTCCCAGACACCCCATCAATCGCTAGATCCCCCGACGCAGCAGCCTCGCCATTAACAACGGGGAACGTCGCATGGACAATCTTCCCGGTATTCGTATTATGGATCCGCACGACCGCCGAGTTTGACTCCGCGTCCGCATCTTGCGCAGTGAACAGCCCACTATCAAGTGCAAACGGCCCAACCGCACTCACCATATTCCCGCAGTTGCTGGAGTAGTCGACATCGGTATTCTTGATGCCCAGGGCTGCAAACGTATAGTCGACGTCTGCGGCTGGATGCGTTGATTTCCCAACGACGCAGACCTTCGACAGGCTTGAGATGCCGCCGCCGAGGCCGTCGAGTTGGCGTCCGTAGGGATCTGGGCTGCCGATCACGCCGCGGAAGATGGGGGCCCAGTCTGTGCGCTTGGTTGGGAGGTCGGACTGGTTGAAGAAGACGGCGCGCGAGGTCCCGCCGCGGTAGTAGGATGCTGGGAGGGAGGATTGGGGGCGGGGGGTGCTCGATGATGAGCGGGTGAGTTGGGATGGGGTTTTTGGTAGTCGGTGGAAGGCCCGGGAAAGCATTGTAAGATACGGGAAGGATGTTGAGGGTTGAGTGATGGAAGATGGAGAAGATGGAGAGGAAATGCCGATGATCGGACGTTGTTGGCTTCGGATGGCCCGAGAGCACGTGACGTGGCATCGGATCGTTCCGATGGCTGGCATGCTCTTAGGGCTACGATACAATCAAGACGCCTGGAGATTTTAGCTGTCTTGAGACGCTGGTTCTTGTGGCATGGAATCGACAATGACATGATATCCATAAGTCTAAGTATGTTAGTATTTTACTGTTGACCGCTCAGCCACACGGTCCTCTATATCTTCCAGTCGTAAGCAAGACCCCATCATCCTACATACTACCTACGTTCTGAACATGCAATCCCCGTGTTAGGGTTCTTACATATACCCGGTATCCATCTATCTTGATCGACCAGGGTAGCGCCCAGGTGCTAGGTCTACTGAAACATCCTACGGCTATCTATCTTCCTAATATACGTGCTAAATCTGTAACTTCTTATCTGTATCAACCGTAGTGTCTTTGAATATGGAATTAAACATGTACCTAGGTTAAATATCCGGTTATTCATAATAGTAGTGTATTCTTAACAACAACGAGTACAATATGATTATGGAAAAGAGAACACGATCAAAGCCGCCCACAGGACCACGAGAGGCCCAACCAACATGCGAACTAATCCCTAGACATCTTCCGAATCGACCACTTGAGAATGCCCAGTGCGATCCAGCTCCGGGCCTGCCTAGCCACCTCCTTCAGATCCATCAATTGCTGCTTAACATAGTCGACATCTCTTAAACCTCTGAGTTCCGCCACACCAACCCAGCTTTTGATCATGAGACGCAGCATCAAGTTACCGTCAAAGCATTTCTCCCGGATAGCTGCTTCCATGGCCTGGCGGTATGAAGCATTACTCAGTCGCCCAGTCTCCATCAAGGCCCTGGCAAGCGGCATCCGGCGACCCCACACAACCGCAGAGACGAGGGGGAAGCCCTTGTTCACATCGAGGTCAGGCCGGCGTTGGACCAGCCTCACCGCTATAGAGTATTCCGCACTCTCAATGGCGTCGGTGAGGGCCGTAGCGGAACGATCTTCCTCTCGTGCGTTCGGGAGCGCAGCCATGGCTGTGTAATTGACGTCGAGCGCGGGGTACGTCAGCAGGAGGTCAACGAGGACACAGGTTGGAGAAGCGTGCTTGATGGCCACGCGGATGGGCGGGTTGGGGACAGGGAAATTGATCTCGGCGCCATGGCGCAGGAGGAGTGCGAGCATGGTGGCGCGGTCCTTGTCCCTAAAGTCGCGCGGGGCGTGTTTTTGGTAATCAGTGATCATGTACAAGAGGGGCGTGAAAAACGGATCGGCGGGGGGAAGCATGTTTACGTCGGCGCCGCCTTTGATAAGGTGCTCGACGATTGCTGTCGCTTCGTGGCCCTGCATGATATCGGTTAGGGCATCAATGAGAAGTGGCCAGCCGTTAGGCGACAATTCCTTTACGTCCACGCGGCCGCTTGCAATGAGGTGTTGGACTGCGGCTGCGGACCCATACTTGACGGCGTATCTGAGAAGGGAGCCGTCGTAGTCACAGTCAGCTGTGTTTCCTCTCTCGCGGGGCTGCGTGTTGGCACCGGCGTCCAGGAGGAGCTTGATGATGGTAGGGGGAATCGACGCCGGCATGTGTCCATGGATGTGCACTGCCGCTTCGAGTGGAGTGAAGCCTTGGTGGTTTCGAGCTTCGATGTCAAGATTTGCGCCTTCTCCTCGTGCATGAAGTAACATCTTCACGAACTGTGGTCTATGGTACTGGATTGCTTCGAATAGGGGCTGGCTGTTGCCTGGGATGGCTGCAGAGTAGCTCAGGGCCCGGCGAAGCGTCGCTTCGTTGTATTTTTTAGCCGCCCAGGAGTAGGCTTCTTCGGCATATTTTCGATAGAGAGTTGGGTTGGCAAGGTTGTGGAGATCGCGACACGTCAGGGCTAGGTTGTTGAGTGAAGGACGGTCATCCTTGAGGTTGTCGAGGATGCAAAGAAACACGTCGACTGGGAGGTCACCGAGGCCAGGCATCTTGGAAGGCGCGATCAGGTGCAATAGACAGGAATACGAACGAGGGAAGAATGGTGAGTTGACAATTACGACCGAACAATGAGCAAGGGAGATGAATATATATGATGTCGACAGGAGACCGGGAGCAGGACAAGGGCAGCCACCAACCGGTGAATGTTTTGCAGTGAATGTACAGCATACCTTGCTTGTAAAGCCTAGCATCTTTTCCTTGAGTTACTAGATACAATTTGTCCGAATGGAAGGACACCTCCACTCCCCTAACGGGCCAAGTATATACAATAAAAAAACCAGCATCAACAACAGAAATCTAAAAAGAACCACTCCACAGCTTATTCCCCCCAGACTCATCCAAACCACTGCCCGTCTCACTCTTCTCAATCCAATCCTGCACATATCCCCTAGCCACCTTATTCCCAACCTTCTCCGCCAGCTCCAGCAGCGCCCCAAGCTCCCTCTTCACCTCCCCACCCCCAAGCAAGCCCGAGCAAACCAGCGCCCGCAACAAGTAGTTCACCATCAGATTCCCCGAAACCCCCCGCTGGCTAATCGCCTGCTCCAACGCAGCACGGTACGCAAGCGCATTCAAGCGGCCCGTGGCAATGATCTCCCTCGCCAGCGGGACACGCCCCTTCCTAATGGCCTCCACCATCGGATTCCCCTTGTTCACGTCGAGATCTGCCCTCTTCTCCAGCAAGACCCGCGCCATCATCCACTTGTTATACCGAATTGCGTCCGTCAGCCCCGTATCATCTTCAATCCCAGCGTAGTTCACATTCAAATTTGCCTGGTCAAGAAGAGTCTGGAACGGACTGAGATAACCTATAGGATGCCTTGACTGAATCGCGTCTCGGAGCGGGGGGTTTGACGCCGGGCGATTGATGTCCGCGCCGTGGGAAAGAAGCATCTTGACGAGGGCGACGCGCTGATCTTCGTTTACCTGGGCGTCCGTATCAGATATCACGAAGCCCAGCGCGGACTGCTGGAACTGGAAAAGTGTGTTTGGGTCTGCGCCGGCGCGGAGCAGCATCTCGGCCATGGGCGCGTTGACGTTGTGCGAGAGGGCCTCGTTCAGCGCTGTGCTGTCGAGGATCGTGTCTGCCTCGTTGACGTTGACGCGGCCGGATTCGAGGAGGGCGGCTACGACGTCTATGTTGTTCTCGCGAGCGGCGTAGGGGAGCAGTGTGCCGTCGTAGTTCTGGACGGTTGTGTATTCCTTTCTCCGTGGGCTCGTGTTTGCGCCGGCGTTCAGCAGGACTCGGGCCACTGCGGCGTGCCCGCCTACTACGGCGAGCTCGAGGGGCGTGAATGTGTTTGCGTTGCGGGATTCGATGTCCGTGTTTATGGCTAGCAGGGCTGATACGATGTTTGCGTGTCCGGATTCAGCCGCTATGCAGAGGATTCTGCCCCCGTCCAGCGGGGCGTTGTAGCTTAGGGCTCGGTGGAGGGTGAGGTCGTTGCCGGCTCGGGCGGCGCGCGTGTAGGCATTATCGGCGAAGCGGTGGTAGAGCAGGGGGTTGACGAAGTTGTAGATCCCGCGGCTTGTGCGGGCGAGACGGCTCCATTGGCGGGTGTGCTCGAGGTCTTCGAGGATCTTGACGAAGAGTTCGACGGGGAGGTCGTTCCAGCCGGCCATGGTGAATTCGGTGTAGGTTGATCTGGATACAACAATTTACTGGATATAACAATTGAACACGAGACTACTGGATTACTTTTGGTCATTGGATGCAGACTATGTATTAATGTTAACTTCACCATGTTAACTGCACAAAGACAGTCCGAAACTTGCATCGCATTGTCCGGCCCAGCCCTAACAAGCAGGCCTTTGAACCCCTTGTGCTATTTGGGGCCAAACCACAACAAAGCTCAGTAAAACCCAGAGCGTTACAAGTGAAAGAGCCCAAACTTCCAGGCGCTTTATGGGGTGTGTAAGTTTAGCACTGATCTATCAGCCTCCTCTCATGATGTGAGGATCAGGATATCTCAGGCGTTCCATGAAACTCCAGCCAAAGATGCAACTGAGCAGCCTTTGCCGGCAGGTATCAGATATTGTAGGAGTTCATTTATCATGGATCCGTTAACTGGTTTCCAATTGCGACTGATTAAACTTAGAACAACTGCAGTGTTCCATAGCCGGCATATAGGGCTCTTCTGCTGCCAGCCTGGAGAGCAGTACACTCGATTGATATGATCACTTCCCACCATCTCTCTTGTCAAATCATCCCCTTTATCCTTCACAATGCGTGAACTCGAACTCCTCACCCCAGAGCTGTTCCTGGACATAACAGACCACCTCTCCTCTTCAGACCTCAACAACCTCGCCCGAACATGCCGCCTCGCCTACAACAAAGTCGACTGCTGGCTGTACTTCCGCTTCGCTAAGGAAATGTACACATGGGTCGCAAACACCGGCAACGAAGCCACTTTGCACAAAGCCCTCAGCCACAACGCCCCCTTCACCGACGACCAGCTGCTCTTCGGCATGCTCAGCAAAGTCAACGAGCGCCACCGCCCGCACGGCATCCGCATCGCGACCCTCCTGATCTCCGCACAGACTAGCGGCACCAACATCGGCATCGACATCGAGTGGACGAGCTGGTACGGCCACACTCTGCTCCAGAACGCCGTGCACGAGAATATCCCCTCCCTCGTGAAGATGCTGCTTGATGCCGGCGCCAACACGGGCCCCTTCACGCCGAGCCTGGAGGACATCCAGCCGTTCGGGTACGATGACTCGTTGCTCAGATACGCCGCGTCCAAGGGGTCCGCCGAGGTCCTGCAGCTCCTGCTTGACAGCAAGCGCGCAGGGAACATCGACCAGGGCGCCCTGACGGCGCACCTCACCCCTCTAGCAAAGGCAATCGAGAGCGGATCCGTAGACTGCGCAGAGCGCCTCCTCAACGCCGGCGCAGACCCCAACATCCTCCTCTTCAACAACGAGAGCCCGCTGTGTCTCGCAGCACGCACGCCCAGTCTGCTCGGGCGGCCCCAGATCCGCAGCACAATGATCAACCTCCTCCTGCACCGCAACGCCAGCGCCACAAACCCAGCATCCAACCCTCCTCTCCGGTGCGCAGTCCTAGCAGGCCACACCGAAGCCGTGACAACCCTCCTCTCCGCCCCGCAAACGGACGTGAACTACACCACCATGCCCGAAACCTCAACCGCCCTAACAGACGCGATCAAGGCAAACCAAACACCCATCGCCCTCCTCCTGCTCGAGAAATGCCCCGCCCTAAACGTCAACAAAGGGCAGCCCCTCGCCCTCGCAATCCGCCGCCTCCAAGTCCCTGTCGCGCGCGCAATCCGTCGCACGCGCCGTCTATCTCATGCGTCATACATGCGCGGTCTAGCGCAGGCGATTGCGCTGCGGAAGCTCGCGACGAATTCGATGATCTGGACCATGACGTGTGAGATGGTTTCGCGGCGCGGGAGCTGGATGGAGGCCAAGGCGGAGCTGGAGACTTTGTATCGGCTTGCGACGGCGGCGAGAAATCCGTCCGCGCTGGTGTATTTGGGGAAGTGGGTGGGGAATCGGCGGATGTGTTTGTATATGCAGGGGGCTTTTCAGAGGGGGGATTATCCGAGGGATTAGATATTGGGGGGGTTTGGGTGGAGGGATTCTTGTAGGGATATTGTTGGGTAGGGACCCTTTGTATTGTATGGTATTGAACAATTGATAGGTTGATATCATGGAGATCATTACTAACCGCAGGGTTAGTCTAGTGGGTAGGTGTTCCCTCCAGGTACTGCTTGATAACTACTTAGAATAACTCGGTCTAGGTACAGAGTTATAAATGATGATTTATTTGTAGTTGAGAGTAGATTGAACATGTGTCTGATCGTTCTCCATCTCCATCAATAGTAGATTGCATCATGACTTCGAAAGAACCCAATCCAACCCAGGTATCGCGCCCAGTGAAACAGCCGGCGTAGGAAATGCCAGGCAAGAATAACCCAAAAAGCGTGAATCTCAAATCATCCCTGAGGGCTAGATAGACAAGCTCGGTACTCAGAGAAGGGAAGTCTGTCGAGGGCTCGCTCTCTTGACTTCTCATCCAACCGCCCACTCGCCACGAAGGCCCGAATGGCGGCGTATGGATCCCCGCCGTCGTGTCTCCAACTCATCGCCTGGTCAATGGCGCAGTCAAGGGCGGGATTCGAGGCTGGCAACATCGGATCGGCCCCCTACCGCAGTAGGAGGTTTGTGAGGCGGATGGGGACTTCTGCTCTGGTATCTGAATGGTACCTGTCAACGGCCACATGTAGGGCTGTCTCGTTGCTGCTGAGAATAGTGTTGGGATCTACTCCGGCTCTGACGAGATGCTCAGCATCCCCCTCAGACTCTGTGTCAACCGCGGAAGTGAGAGCTGTCGACCAGAAACTCGGGGCTGAGGTTTGAGGTCCACGCGGCCGCTGTCAATCAGGTGTTTCAGGACATCGGAGAAGCGTTCTCGGGCAGCTATGCGCGCTAGGTAGCCTTCATAGCGAGCAAACATCGTATTAGGCTCAGTGTTAGCGCCTGCATCAAGGAGCAACTTCACAATGGAGCCGCGGCCACTGCGAACTGCGACTTCCAGAGCTGTAAATCCCTGGTGGTTCCTTGCTTCTATGTTGACGCCAGGCGTTGCTAGAAGAATTTGGACGATGGGATATTGGGCGTGCTCGATGGCCGTGAACATGGGTTTGGTCTTGCGGAACGGGGTGTGGTAGCTAAGGGCACGATGGAGGGCAGGCTCGTCGCCTTTTCCGGCTGCCCAGTCAAACACTTTGTTGCTGCGTGGCGGTAGAGTTCGGGATTCACAAGGTTGTAGAGGACACGACAGGTCCGGCCCAGCCTGCTTCTTGTGCGGTCGGAGCAGCTCAGTTTCGAGATGAGGAGGATAAGCTCTGGCGGCAAGTCGCCGAGGCTGGTCGATTGTCTTCGCATGTCCATGTTGACGCTCATCTTCCTCAAACGTCGTGGATGTCTGAAGGAGTGTCTCTAGAGTTGCCATTTTATATTTCCTCGCAGAGCAGATTTCAATGAACGTCCCATTGTTCGTTTGTAGGTGTAGACACCGACACGAGGGAAGTAAATCAAGCTTCAAAACAGAGTGGACGAACCACGCCATCTTTAGGAATAGCAAACCTGGAATGAAAGACACCAGAGTCTGACCTCCTGGTGTGTGGATTGTCGCTGATGCAACCTTCTATAGGTTCCGATTGATACATGACTGGAGGGTGGTCAGATCCATTGTCGCAGTGACAGATCGCAGTCGTGGCCCTTGTCAATTGTGCGGCAGATAGCTTTCAGCCCTTTGACAGATACTGTTCAAGAGACCGATCACCAGACTGCGGCACGCGATGGTTGCGAAGAGGGTCCTCAACAAATCCTTCTTTGCTAATCAGTAAAGGTCCCTATATAGCATCAGATCTGCTCTTGTTAGCCAAACGACCAGTAGCAGAAAGCCAAAAAGCAGCCATACTCAAGTGTCCGGACGATCAGCAAAGGGAACACAGCGTACAGAAAACTACAGCACAACCAAGCTACATCAGCAGGGCAAAGAAAATGAAGTAACACCAGGCATGGGTATTCTACTAGAAAACCGCCAAATCTAAACATAGTCTTGCAAGTTACAAACATGCTGAAAGACGACTCGCTCTAAGGAACCAAAGACGGAAGGGAAACGCCACAAAGATGGGAAATATATCGTGACACTCTCCAGGTTGTTCAAAATGTCAGCTCTAAATGTAGTCGCAATGCGCTTAGTCGAACATCTTATTCATGAACTGATGCGCCAACTCGACACCCGCGAATGTAGCAGCGTTCGCGGGAACAGCACGCGCGAGGGCCGGGCCAAATCCAGGGAAGAACGCCTTCAAGCCGCCAGCGGCGTAGACGGTGCGGATGGTGCCGCCAATCGTGGGCTTCCCGGGAGCACTCTGCAGACGGGACTTGATTGTGTCGACGGGGAAGACGGGAGTCCACATGGCGATACCGGCGGCACCTCCGGCAGCCAGAACAGCGGGTAAGGAGAGATCACCAGTCACGTTGCCGTTCGCGTCCTTGGGCGTCAGCGAGCGCTTGATGTACTCGTACGCGGCGAAGTAGGCGGCGGAACCGGGGCCATCACGAGCCAGCGTCATAGCGCTTCCGCGGAACACACTCCGGATTCCACCCTCCTTGTACAGTTGTCGGACGACGTCGACACCGCCGGAGTACTTGGGCTTCTGGCCGGGAGGGGGTGGGTTCTGGCCCTGGATCTGGAGGAGGACTTTTACGCGCTCGAAGGGTGCGGTGATGAGGGTCATGGGGATGGCGGAGAAGAAGCCGGCGGCGGAGATCTGGCCGATTGTGTATTGGGGAGTGTTGTTCTTGACCTCGACTTCGGATAGGCTGCTGACGAGAGTCTTTCCGAGATCGTAACCCCAGAAGCTGACGGCGACTAGATTCAGGAATATTAGCTTCGTCTAGAAAGTGTAGGAAAAGCTACTTACACATTGGCGTGACGCCGACCAGCGGAGCAGAAACACCAGCATAGAGACCCTGCAACTGTCAATTCCTGTGCATCAACCACTGACGATGTAACTCACCCTTACGAGACCCTCGCGGGCAACGGTCTTCTTGACGACGTCGATCGCACCGGAGTAGACTCCCTGGGCGGCAGTCTGCATCCGCACCTTCACCAAGTCGAATGGATGGCCGACCACAACCGCGCACACACCTCCAACGCCGCCAGCAGCGAAGGAGCGAAGTTGAGCAGCGGTCTGGTTGACGGTCTTGGCCTCGACAGCCTTGACGGTCTCCTGGACGGTGTCGGAGGCGGGAGATTCAGCGGCGGACATGATGGCGGGGATGCGGAGGTGGCTGGGGCGGGGAGAGAGTCGAGAGGCCGGTGAGAAGAGGAGAGAGGAGAGGGTTGATGAGAGGTAGGAAGAGAGGAAGCAGAGGTGTTAAGTAGAATCTGAGAAAGTGTCCGAGGCGAAGAAGAGGGCGAAGAAGAGAGAGTTGAAGGAAAAAGACCCCAGGCGTGCCAGAGTTGGTCGGCAGCCGGATCTGGGATCAGAGATGCCTCGGCTCATGCGGAGAAATGGATCTTCCGCCTCCGCTGCTGCCAGAACGATCCGCGGAGACTGTGGAGGGCGTCATCGACCATATTAGCCGGCATGACCAGGCTGCCATCAAACTCTACGCTGCAATCGTTTTTTTCTCGCCATTTGTTGTTTCTTGTTACTGCCTCAAAGCTCATTCGCATCCACCAGCAGCGTCTATACTTCCTCTGGCACGCCAGCACCATGGATCAGATCTCGGATGAACGGAGGCCACTGACATGGACCTGACGCCTCCACGTTTGTGCCACTGTGCCTTTCATCCGTCTCGAGCAACCCAAAGGTTCACGCCCCGGACGACGGGAATCTAATCCACCCCAGACTTTCCGCTCGCCCCATTCTACGCCGTGGCGGTCGCGCTGTCGCCGTTCGTCTCTTTCGTCGTCGCACAATGCCAAGACAATCACATGCAGAGAACAGGTCAATTCATTTACTGTGGGATCGAAGCTCCTGGCTATCCGATCGATTATATACAGAATGAGAACAGTTTATACCAATCTACCAATCAATCGCTCGGTTCCTTGTCCGGTCTTGAGGTTGATTGGATACAGCTGCCCGGCTACAACTCACGCGTCATCTATTTGCAGGTACCCTGGCTGGCGTGGACATCTTGCTAGAGGAGGGTCAGTCATCGGAGCTTGAAAGGGTATCGGAGGACATACAATGCAGAGGCCGGACTGGCAGGTGCCCATCTTGCCGTCCTTGGTGCAAGGAGCACCGGCGGGAAGCTGAGAGAGCGTTAGTTACCGAGCTGCGTCCGCCGGGACCGAACATATCTCGGCCCGGTTCGGTCAACTCACATTGTTTCCAGCTGCCATGGCCGTGCCAATGAGAGCGAGGGTGGCGATCCAAGAGAAGTTCATTTTGCTGTGGAAGTGGGTTGGTAGGTAGGCTTGGTAAAGGGCGTTGGTGAGCGAGGAGACAAGCAGACGATGTTGAGTCGGAGGCACCATCGAGACTGCGCGAAACTCCTCGTCTTTATACCTTCGCTGGCACCGTGATACGCAAGATCAGCATCCCCTTCTCCATCCACGGTTCCAGCATGTGGCACCCAACTTACGCAAGTCTCCAATAGTCCTGCCGACCGCGGCGATGATCCCGCCTCATTACCCGGTTCCTGCCCTCAATGACCGGTTCATCGAGACAATCAGTGATTCAGTGTAGGCAGCTCAAATACACCCAATCAGCTGAGCCTTAGATCTGGGGCTACAATTCTAAACCGAAGGTCATGACGAGAGCAAATCTGCCAAAGGTATCAGGTACCAAGTCTCCACCCTATCCAAACATCGACCGTAAGAACCAACGGCGAACATTTAAGCCCAGTCTCAGCCTCAGGGGCCGGATGCAGCATCTCCATCCTAATGTTTGCTGCGGCTGCCGTTAGACCCCAACCTGCAGGGCAGCCCCTCCTCGGCACGCCCGGATGCCCACCAGCGTAAATAGTAAGGATCCAGGCACGCGGGCGCCGGCTCCATAGTCCCCATGATGATCGCCCTTGGCAGCTACCCCTGGCCCCGAGAAGCGAGAACTGGAGGACAGCGCCTGTCCGCGGTGCCGGTACCTAATAAAGTGATAATCATCACCGCTATAAACTAGCATACAGATCCAGTAAGCAAAAACCAGTAAACTAGGTCGGATACGAGAGTTCAAAATCTAAACCCCCAGCTACCTACTTTAGAGCGAGCCATGTTCCCGATATCCACGCCAGCAGCAATCCACCGACAATTAATCGCAGTGGTGAGCAAGGCTAGTTATGTACTCCGTTCCTACTCTGTAAGCTTAGCCTCGTCACCTGTGTGACGGATTCCCGACAAACTATTCAGGCCTCTTGTTGTGGGTGGTGGGGAACGAAGAACGGAAACTGTCTAAGGCTCTGTGGTGACAACATGCAGCAATGGCGCGTCGCAGCATCCAGCTCAGCGCTACTTCGTATATAACATTGGTCTTTAGGTTGTCAGTAGCCACTTCGCCTATGGATTTATGCCATCTTGAGCAGAATGGTTCATTATTATCATCGATTCGATGGGGCTGATCCACATGCGACAATATATATCTTGGACGCCGCTGAACAACACTCCAGAAATAGCCTTCTACTCGAACTTTGCACTACGATCGATGTCTTAAGGAGATTTGGGAGATACTGACAACTTAAAGAAGCAAGGATTGTATAAGGCATTTGCATATCGTATCGCTCCAAACCGTTCGCTCGCCCTGTCGAGGCCTGCACGGGGAGATGCGTCCCTTGTCAGCTTCAAGAGTCCAAACAAGTACCCGAGATACGAATCTATGACGCAAGTCTACACACGGAACAAAGTAAAGATCGTATGAGTTAATTATTATCGACAGTAAGAGTATTTACCAATGGCCATTAGTACAACATAACCCGTCATAACCTATACATTAGGGCCCAGTAGTCATCACCACCATACATCATTAACGTAAGAGGCATCTAGCCAGCATGAAAGCAATGGCATGTCGTCATTATCCATCATTTACAGAACAAGGAAAGCCGCAAGACCCAGAGCACCGGCAGCGCCGGTCGGGAATGCGATGCGGGGAGCAGCACCGGTGGGAGCGTCCGTAGCGTCGGACCCGTCACTTGCGGTGGAAGTCTCGCTGTTGCCACCGTCCGACGAGGTGGAGGAAGCAATGTTGCCGTCACTGTCGGTCGAAGTGCTCGTCGAAGTCACCATCGTAGTGCTGGTGGGAGAAGGAGAGCTGCTGGGAGACTAGACGTTGTTAGCGTAGGACTGACATGAAGTGAAAGGTTGGCTTACCTCAGTAGGAGAGGGAGACCCGGTGCTAGCGGGACCAGTGGTGCTGTCGCTGCTAGTGGGCTCACTGGTGGATGTGGTCTCGGTGGTGGTCGTCTCACCGTTGGCGCCAGTGGTAGTGGCGGTGCCAATGACAGTTGTAGTGCCGTCGTCAACAACGGTGGTGGTGTCATCGCCAATAACAGTCGAGGCAGTCGTGCCATCGTCCTCTCCGATGATAGTCGAGGCGCCGCCGGCAAGAATGGTCGAGGCACCATCACTAACAATAGTTGATGTGCTGCCATCACCAATGACGGTCGAGGAACCGTTGTCGCCAGTTACGACAGAGGAGGTAGCGGACGCAGTGCCGGTGTCGGTGCCTGAGCCGGTGCCTGTGCTAGCCCCAGGAATGATCGCGGTGGAGGAAGGGCCAACAGTGACGGTAAGTTCACCGCCGGACGAGCCTAAGTCCTATCAGCGCAAGCTCAGACGGAACAATCGGGAGAGACGAACCTGGACACTCATCCAGAGCAGCCTGAAGAACCTGGATGGCGTCATCATCGGGGCAGGCCTCCGCTGTGCAGTCGCGGATGCCGTATCGGTAGTTGGGAGTTCCGCAGAGACACTCGGTGTCGCCTTCCTCGCAACCAAGGTCACCAGCCTGAGCGAGCATATTGCTAAGACACATGGACTGGACGAGTTAGCAGGTATCAAGGGGTGGATTGGAGCTGAAACGTACGGCACATTCGCTGACGGACATCTGAGCGCAGGCGCCGCCGAGCGAGGCGAGAACGGCCATTTGGAGTGTAACGGACTTCATTGCGCGAAATGTGAGATGCGTAAGGTATGTGGAGGTAAGAGTAGCAGGATAACACGATTCGATGCCAAAACGCGAGCCAGCGATGGTGGAGAGTGGACTTGAGGGTGAAGCGAGAATGATGGAGAGAGGAGAAAGGGACGAGGTTGGGAGCAAGGGAAGAGCTGCCTTTAAGATCGGCAGCAGCAACAGCAGAGCTTGATCGTGCCTGCCACCCGTACCACGTCAAGCCAGACCCTCATCTTTCTTTCCCTTTCCTCTTTCCCTTTCCTGCCGTACCGTGGACGGTGATTGGTAGCGTGGGAATAGCTTCGGCGTGCTGTTCAACGTGGCGGGGATCCACGGTCCTGAGGTCATAGTAGAAGAAAAACAAAGCTCCAGTGCCGTTGCAGCAGATCCTATAGGGCGGCGAAAGGATCAGAGATCCAAAATCAAGCTACCTCTGCGCAGGCTAGCTGCAGCGATAATCCTGGTGAGTGAGCGGGCCACTAACGAGCGACTACTACGTCACTCCTCCTTGCCCGTCCTTGCGATGTCATCGTCTCTGCCCAATGTCATGACGCTGCTGATTCTGCCCTTCGCAGCAGTTTCCATCGCTGCTTCATGTCAAATGACTGGCCTTCTGCAAGTCAGCAAGCCGCATACACTGTGTGCCAATGACCGCGGACGAGAGCGGTGCTGCCCATGGGTGAGCGACTCTGACCGCCGATCGGGCGATCGCGCCCAGCCACAGTCCGTCTTTGGCGGTGGCTGGATCGTCCCCGCTATCCCGCACTATTGCCTGGCAACCAAGGTTGTTTTCACCCAAATTCTCGAACCTCATCATCGACTGATTCAGTCGGGACTGCGAGTTTGCTAATTCTCCATTGGCTAGATCGAATGCGACCGACGCTGCTCGTTCGCGATCGCGGTGATCGCGGTGTCCTCCTCGCAGGATCGCTCCCAGTCTTCTCCAGCACACCGAGCCTTGTCTGCCGGCATCGCAGCAATCCCAGCCCCGATTTTACATTGATTGCAGGAAATATGGCACCGAACATACCCCATATCCTCTGAAAAATCCGCCGACGCGATCAGATTATCTATGGTCGCACAAGCTTCCGAGGAGTTCTACTCTGGCCCACCAACCCATCGCGATGCCGACCAACTTGGTCAATATATCCGGAATGGACCGCCTGCTGTCCCAACCTCGCTGGGCAAGTTAACGATTCGTTCCAACGCGCCGCTACTCTTCTTGAACAAGCAGAGGCCATTTGCCGTCCCTGCAGGATACTCCGGCTCCGGCTCTAGCGACGCAATAGACGGCAACCACGCAGTATGCGGCAGCTCAGCGTCGGGAAGAGCACGACTGCTTGGACCGTGTCCTGGATTCCCGATTCAGGCGTTTAACACAACGAGGGTATGACGAGCTGGGGTACGCACGGGTTGAAGTCCACCCAAGACAAGTGGCTGGATTAATCCGAACGCTGGCAATGGGCACTGCACATATTCCGGCAATTCCGGACGGCTTCATGTTGTGGCGAATCGAAGCCGGACAAACATTTGCCGCACCTTCAAGGCTTCTCCTCGAACGCGAAGCATGCCTGTAGTCGAACTGCTTGAGAGTATCCACCGGTACGCTGCCGACATTCTAGATGAGACTTGGTTGGTGATGCCACATCCGGTGGATGATATCTGGCTGAGAATTGATGGGTTGCGTCTTCTATGAACTTCACTCTCTGCGCTGACAAGTGCCTCCCTGCGTACTGACACTTACGCCCATACATCCCGGTTGACAGCTGAAATGCGGAGTAGATCGACGTGACTCGGAACTTAATTCTTTCTGGGGAAGGGTTCTAGACCTGTGTACCTTGAATGCCGACCACGTTCCAATCACGAGAATGACTATAGAAGAGCCCCGGGCGAAACTCAATCTCGCCATTCTCTCAGCCTTGACGCATCTCATCAGAGAGCCCTGATAACGTTCAAAGTTCGAACCTTTCTCCCACCACATGCGGTGTCAAGGAGTGAAGCTACGGACCTCTCCCAAGCGGACGGTTGCCAGGCTTGAAATTCGATAGTCTGTGCAACCAACGAACAAGGATACACTCGCATCGCAATTTCGCAAACCGTTCAGGCCCAACTCGTTCAGGCCCAACTCCGTTCCGCGAAGCAGATGTCCGATACAGTAGTACAACATTATTCGACCGGACCGGACTCGAACACAGAATGAAGACTACCAGTCTACCAGCGACATTATTTAGACTCAGTGCCATCGAGAATCCAGCCTAGCATTCGATCTCATCGTCTAGTCGTAGAGAATTGGAGCTGTATTCGTCGTCGCGAAAATCACAATAAACCCTGCCTATGGGATAGATGGGCACAGCGGGACGTGATGTCGGCCTTCGTCGAAGTCTTATATCACAAGAACCAGAATATCGCCTACCGCTCGCCGAATTGTCCGGTTTGAAGCTCTCGGCGACAACCTGCCTCTGCAGCTCACCAATGTGCATTCCGAGCGGAGAGGTTCCCCTGGGAGGTACAGAGATATGATACTGAAACTGGAACGGCCCGTCGCAGATGACTTTGCGAGAAATTTGCTGCAAAGACCCCTATATCTGCCGCCAAAGCCATACCTACAGTTCCGGGAAGCGCAAAAGAGACTCTCGCCTTGTTGGAAAGTTCGGATCTACGATCATGATCACTTCCATGATCCCCGTCGCCGGCTATAACTACCAGAAGGACAGTCGTGGCACACCAAGCAACTCTATCCCTAAGCGCCTGACCACAAACACATCGACGCCGACTGCGACAACAATAGATGGAAATATATCGAGTTTCTTCAGTACTTCACTATATCAACGATGGCCTGGAACCCAGCGCTTCATTCTCGGCCCTAACCAGTGACGTCATATTGTTTTGCTCATACGGCGAGAGGCTCGACTCACCTGCAGAGAACGGCGATTTATCAGGGACCCGTGCAATAGAATCACGGGGACAAAGAGCTTGCATTCGTCCAAGCGTCTATGCTTGTTCGCATTGGTAAATCGACATGGCTAGAAGAACAATAGCCGATGTTGCGAGAACGAAGTAATGAGTGGCTGACAACTCTGCAAGGGTGATAAGAAGTGCTGGATCGAGCAAAGAATGAGAGGTGATGCCTGGTGCAATTACTTACGCGAAAGCGCCAACTAGCGAGCGGAGTCTTCGGTTCCCAATGCTAAAGGCTTGGTCTTGCTGAATGGTGAAGCGAAGCTCATCGCGATTGCTTCGACACTGGCCGCTTTCCATGGTATTAAGGGTACGAAATTTTGGCCCCTCAACGGCAAGCCGGTCCATTTGACAAACCGTACGCCACTCGATATCCATCGGACAAGGCTGCTTTCTGATCTCTTTTTCAGCGAACGCCCTGGATAAGAACATAACCGCCTCACAACCCTGGAAACCTGAATTAGAACCATGGCGTCTGTACCCTGTCCTTGCTGATGGACTCAGTGCCTTTGCCAACTCAGTCCAACAGGTTGTCCTGATGGCGCATCTAGGCACCTATCGCTGCAGCCAAAACTCGCCGAAGTCTCCGACGCCAGTCTCAAGGTACTCACGCAGCCCTATATAGCCATCGCGGGTTCAAGCCAAGTACCGAAACATCGAACGCCACAATCACAACTGGCAGGATGAGTGACTTTACCGAAACTAATCGCAAACACTTCGAGTAAGTCTGTCCATTTCGGCTCGTCTGGTCCCTGCTAGAAAGAAACGAAGCTCACCATTCGCAGCAAAGTCGCCTCCAACCACCAAAACGACTTTGGCGAACTCATCGCCGCAATAATAACCGAGCTCCAATCTCGGCGCGAGTGGATCAGTCCGAAGCTTGCTGGCGAGCCGAAACATGAAGATGGTATCAAGGAAGCGGATGAGGTCCGTTTGCTGGATTACGCTTGCGGTTCTGGAACAGTCTCCAAGGTAGGTTACCATGCATCTACGCCAATGCCTCCGCAGTCTAGCTAAGAGCGGTCCACTGCACGAATACGAACTGATAGCGAGCTTGACCCCATACCTAGGCGCTAGCCCCATACACAACCCGCAGCATCGGCCTGGACCTCTCCGCAAATATGGTGAACGAATACAACAAGACCGCGAGGGAGATGGGATATGGCGCAGAGCGTATGCAAGCGCATCGCTGGGACCTGCTTTCAGACTCGACTGCCTCGAGCGCTCCCAGCGACTTTCTTGCCCAAGAATCATATGATATCGTCGCAACGGCTATGGCCCTGCACCACGTCGCTGACCCCGCGAAACTCCTTTCCCGTCTGTCGGAGCTGCTCAACCCAGGCGGCGTTTGCGTTGTGGTTGATATGGTTCCGGAATCCGAGTCGGCCTCTACCGGTGAAGTTGAGAACGTATTCGAAACTATAGAGACCCTTGACCCTTCGAAGCGTGGTGTTTTGGACACCATCGGCAAGCAGGGCTTTACCGAGGCTGAAATGAGGAGCATGTACGAGGGTGCCGGGATGTGGAGGAGGTTCGAGTATGTGGTTCTGCCGGAGAAATTGCGCTTTGCGCTTTTTGGACGGCGCTTTGCGTTTCCTGGTTTCGTTGCTCGTGGGGCGAAAGTGTAGTCATACACTAAAGTTGTGTCTTGGGACATGGAACGGCATGCATGATGCTGACGCCCAAGCTACAGGAGACATGGCGGGCGAACTTCGGACGCCAGTCTTCATGTCGGGTGAACGATAATGATAGGCCAGTCGGTATTTGATATGTCTTTTTCGAGAACGGCAGTTGGTCTTCAAGCCCTGTCATTGTTCCTCCACATTCCGGACATCCCTCAGGCGCCTCCCCGGATCCAACCCCGCGGGGAAGCACTATAGCCTCCTTGGCGAGGAGACCCTCATTCGACATTAGACTCAAATTAGCCTGATCTCAACTTGGTAGTACAGATATCGTCACCTGCCAAGTCTCTCAAAAGCCGTTGGAGAGATGACCATTTGCCGTGGAGACGCATATAAACCTCAAACTTGAAGATGGGTGGACGTCGGTACATTGGCGGTATCACTTTGAAGATATAGGCTCAGTCTGAACACGTCTTCAAGATGAGGAGTCCATCGCTACTATCCCTCCTTTCCTTGATCACCTCATCGCTCGCCAGCCCCTCATCCCCAGCTCCAAACCTGCACTCCCGCGATGCCACCACCAACCTCAACCTCTCCCTCCCTCAACACCCGCTCTCCATCAACCTAAAACCCCAGCAAACCTCAACCAGAGACCTCGTCTCGCTCGATGGCCTCTGGTCCTTCGCAATCGACAACACCACAAACAGCACCGCAACCCCCTGGACAAGCCCCCTCCCAAAAGGCCTCGAATGCCCCGTCCCGGCCTCCTACAACGACATCTTCATCGACCGCAACATCCACGACCACGTCGGCTGGGCGTACTACCAGCGCACCGTCGCAATTCCACGCGGGTGGTCGGGGCAGCGCTACTTCGTCCGCCTGGAGGCCGCAACACACCACGGCCGCGTCTATGTGAATGATGACCTTGTTGCCGAGCATGTGGGCGGATATACGCCTTTCGAGGCAGATGTTACGGACCGCGTCAATCCCGGCGAGAGCTTTCGTCTAACGATTGGCGTCAATAACGAGCTCACGCATGAGACTATACCCCCCGGGACTGTGGAGGTGTCCGAGTACACGGGGCGCAAGGTGCAGACTTACCTGCATGATTTCTATAACTATGCCGGACTGGCTAGGTCCGTTTGGTTGTATTCCGTGCCGGTCGAGCAATATATCGAGGACATCACCGTTGTCCCTGACGTCGATTGGGACGAAGATGCAGAAACGGGAATCGTGCACTACACTGTCGACACCTCCAACGGGACCGGGTCCATCGAGATCACCATCGCCGACGAAGAAGGCAACACCGTCACCACCGCATCCGGCGCAAACGGCACAATCACCATCCCCTCCGTGCACCTCTGGCAGCCAGGGTCCGCCTACCTCTACACCTTCACCGCACGCATCCTCTCCACATCCACCGACCCTCCGCGCGTGGTCGACACCTACACCCTCCCCCTCGGAATCCGGACCATCGCCATCAAAGACGCGCAGATCCTCCTCAACAACGCCCCCATCTACCTAACCGGCTTCGGCAAACACGAAGACAGCCCCATCCGCGGCAAAGGCCACGACACCGCGTACCTAGTCCACGACTTCGAGCTGCTGCACTGGATCGGCGCCAACTCCTTCCGCACATCCCACTACCCCTACGCGGAGGAGGTAATGGAGTACGCGGACCGCCACGGCATCCTAGTCATCGACGAGACCCCCGCCGTCGGATTGGCGTATAGTATCGGCGGCGGCGTGTCGAGTGCCGATAGTCCCTCGACATTCACGCCAGAGGGAATCAACAATAACACGCGCGCCGCGCACGCCCAGGCACTCCGGGAACTGGTGGCGCGCGATAAAAACCACCCGTCCGTGATCATGTGGAGCGTCGCCAACGAGCCGGCGAGCGATGAGGAGGGTGCAAGAGCGTACTTCGAGCCGCTGGCCACTCTTGCCAGGGAGCTCGACCCAGCAGGTCGACCCATAACGTTCGCGAACCTAGGCCAGGCAACATACGCCACAGATACAATCTCCGACCTGTTCGACGTGCTCTGTCTGAACCGTTATTTCGGGTGGTACAGTTTCACTGGCGATCTGGACTCCGCGGGTATCGCTCTCAAAGAGGAATTAACCGGATGGAGCGAGACGTACCCGGGCAAACCGATTATCATTAGCGAGTACGGGGCGGATACGCTGGCGGGGTTGCATTCCGTGATGGGATTGATTTGGAGCGAGGAGTTCCAGATTGAGTATCTGGATGTTTATCACGGGGTGTTTGATACTTTTGACAATGTGGTTGGCGAGCATGTGTGGAATTTTGCGGATTTCCAGACCAAGGAGGGGATCCAGCGCGTTGATGGGAATAAGAAGGGGGTTTTTACGAGGGAACGAAGGCCCAAGGGGGCGGCGTATGCCCTGAAAAAGAGGTGGAGTGGGTTGAATAATACGGGGTTGGGGACTGAGTAGGGCTTTGGGCGCTGGATGGGATGTTGAGCTGGAGGGCACTTGGGAGAGAGTATATCCATGAAGAAGGTTGGTCCAAAGACGCAGAGTAAGCAATACATGTACCTAGGGGTATTTTGGACAGTCTCGCTATCCGAATGAGTATCCTTGGATCCATCAATCCTCTACCGGAAAAGGCCAGATGGCCCTCGCCTCCTCCTCGCTCACCCCCCTCTCCGCAACCTTCTCAGTATACAACCTCAGCAACTCTCTATTCTGCCTCATCTTCTCCTCAAAGTCCACCTGCGGCGCAATCCACCCCTCCGCATCCGTATCCAGACACTGCATGGCAAGCTGCTGCACTTCATTCCACTCCCGGTACTTCTCAAACTCCCGCTCATGGGACTCGATCTCCCCAGCCGTGAACGAATACGGACACTCCCCCTCGAAGCCCAATTCCGCCCAGCTCCGGGAAATCTCAATAAGACACTCTCGTAACGGGACGACCCCGACATCCGATACCTCACCGAGACGGATAAAGAGCTCTCGAAGCACACGCGGGACGTTCATTGCGTGGTATGCGGTTCTGTTCTCTAGGAACGTTGAGACTTCGTATGCCTTTGCCATCTTCGCTGCCATCCATTCCTGTTGAGCCGCGTGCTTTTCGTCGGCGGAGAACGAATCGAATTCGGCTGGGAGGGAAGGCTGAACGAAGCCCTTGGGGTACGGATAGTCTTGAGGAGGTTTCAAGAAGACAGGCCATTGTGCCTGAAGGAAGAACGGGAGAATCGATAGGGATTGAACATCTATTAAGGCCGTGATCTTGGACTTTTCCTCCGGGCCGATGAAGATGTTCCCCATGTGCAGGTCTGTGTGCCATAATGTCGGCTGGGAGTGTTTGGCTAGGATTGTGTTCGAGTCGAGCGTCTTCATCAGACTGATGGTGATTTCTAGGAGTCGGGCTCCCCCCTGTGACCCTGGTTGGTGAGATATTTCTTGCTCTACTGTAGTCTTAGTTGAAATCCGGGAGAGTTCTTGTTTCGCTAATGAGATACCGAGCTCGGATACTGTGTTCCCTAGGCCGATATTAGTTTTAATCGTGATGAAGAAAGAGCCGATGTCCTTACAAGGGCCCTGATCAATTGTGCTAGCCAGGGGGGAGTCCAGGTTGTGAAATGAGCGGTCCGGTGAAGGGCCGACACAGAGCTCGCTGCCATCAAGGTCTTGATGATTGAACCCTTTCGCATCTGACTGCAGGTACAGCCCGCCAAAGGCAGGAAAGGAGGTGGCGGAGAGCTGCGCTTCAAGCTTGGTCAAGCCTTTGATGAGCTCCAACTTGTCGTATTCGGTCATCTCGCGCCATTCCTCGAACAGCGGGACGCCTGGGGCTTTCTCCATAACGATATACTCGGCGCCAACGGGATTGGCTTCATCTGGTGACCATGAGAGTACCCGAGGAGCCGGAATTGTGGTGTGCCTCCGTACTGATGGAACATCAGTCACGAGAAGTCCACTGAATGGGATGGAATGCACGTACAGTACTCCAATGCGCCGACCTCAGCTGCTGTCGTGAGGAAGGCTGGTCCCGCGATGCGGCAGGGGATCTTCGCGATGAGTGCCTCTCCATCTTCTTTGGTCATGAGAAGCGCCTTGCTGAAGCCGCCTTCAAGCTTTTCTACAGTTTTGATCGGAGATCGGCCTCGACCCACCGCAGCGGCTACACCGCAGAGCGCGTCCACGTCGAACTTGCGGTAGCGGCGTTCATACTGATGCTGCTCGTCCGCGAGGAATCTTCCGTTGGTGTAAAGAAAGAGATCCTCGCGACTGATGGGTTTCCCTGAGCACGTTAGTGAAGCCTTGTGGAGGTATCGCCAGTCTCACCTCGGCAAAGGATCGATAAATGCGCGACGGATTGTTTTCGGTGGAGCTTCTTGAAGGTGCGCATCAATAGTCGCATGGTCACACGAGTCGGTAGCCCTTCCTTACTGATTTAGTCAGTCTTCATCACAAAGAGAGGCAAGACCCTCGGCCCTGGGATGGAGGGTAACGGGAGGTGGACGTGCCCGGAGTGGAAGGAGCGCGGAAGGGATCGTCGTTTCCGTCTCGGGCCGATGCCATCCCGGCGCTAAGTCGCCGGCGCGCTAGCCATAATAGGCTTGGCGGTCCTCATTTCCTCCAATCACAGCGACGCTAGTTTACAGTGGAGCTGGATCACAGTGGTACTGCTTCCCACACAATGCTCGGGGTCTGAATTCTATGGAGTGCTCTTGGACCTGAAGCAGGGGCTCGAAGGAGCTTACTGGCGAGACTGGCATTGCGCTAGCAAGTAGCTATCCAAACCATTCGATTAGAAGGTCCAGCTGCGGATAGTGGTCTTATATTGGGGTTTACCTTCCACATTGTTATCCCAGTTCTTCTTGTATATCAGAGAGAGACGGAAAACATTGGGGTGCTTAACCCTGTTTTCAAGGGTGTATAAGTATAGTATGGGTTTAGTCCCCTGCAATGAACGAATGCCTTCAAGCTCAGGATTGTAGCTAGTAGGCACATATAATCAATGGATGTAGTTCGTAATTGTAATTAAATACCAGGATAATCGATATAAGAATGACTGTAGTACAGCCAACTATACTGCCCCAGCACACAACAATGACGCAGGCGCGACAGCTCCGGCTCAACGACAATGGGAAGATCTGTGTCGGAGTCGCAGGGGTCTGAAAGTTGATCTCCCACACTGACGGAATTGCGGTGTACGTAACACTTCGCCCTCTATGACCAGAATATGAGGTCTGATTCGTCCAATCTAGGGCTACATGGGGTAGACTAATCAATCAAATAGGCTTCTGAATCTCGCCGGAGGATCTAAGCCCCAGCTGCTGGGGTCATGCCCCGGGTTACTCCGTACTCCGGATCCTCTAGTGCTTTAGCCGGTAGAGAAGGACCAATTGGATTCATGACAATGCATGCAACAGCAGTACGTGAGGCGCTGTCATCTGAACCTCTACAACAGAAAGCTCTACAACAGACCGGGTTGTTGAATGCGGAGGTGACATTGCTATCCTAGGTATCCTAACAAGGACTGCATATACAATCGACAGGAATGCCATGCAACACTCTAAAAGTGAATAGACTTGCCCGTCTCCAACTCCTCAGGGTACACAACATAGATAGGATCCTGCTCCTCGACATGGCCGCACACCGGGTCGCTAAGGGCATACCCAATAAACTTCTGCGTCTCACGGTCATACTCACGCACGCGCTCCAAGGGAACAGCCAGGAACTGGTTCTCCTCCTGCCGAAGATAGCCCCGGGTGACATAGGTCGAGAAGACGGTGCGATACTCGTCAGCCGTCGTGTTATGTCCGGCGCCGTGGTACAGCGACGCAAAGAAGATCAGCGCGTCGCCCTTTTCCAGCGAGGCGTACACGCAGTCCGCCACATTGGGCGGAGTCGGTCGGTCATTGGCCCTATGTCATGATCAGCGAGCTGCATCACCGCAGTCTGGTAGGCGGACGCACCACAGATGACTCCCAGGGATGAACCGCGTGCCCCCGTTCTCCTTGGTCACCTTGCACCCCGCAACGAGCACATTAATGCCAATCTGCGAGCGGTAGTCGAACTCAGCAGCCTCAGCGATGACATTGTGGTGGACGTAGTCGTCGCGATGCAGCGGCTGGGGCTTCGCGCCGGGCCCGACCCTCAGCGCGACGGTGGACGTGAGGTACGGGCGCGACACGGACTCGGACCACTTGTCGCCCCACCAGTTCCAGCTGCGGGTGACGAGGAAGTGGTCGCACAGCTGCTGGAAGAGCGGGTGCATCATCTGCGTGCGCGTGTACGTGGGACTGAGCGAGATCAGGTTCGGGGCTTTCTGCGTCTCCTCTGCACTCGTCAGCACGCCTCGGTACGGAGGAATCTTTGCCGGTGCTTTGCTACGGACCGGGGAAGAATGAGCCCTTCCATGCGGCGCTTTTGTCGAGACGAGGTCGGACTTCCTCGTATGCTTTGTCGACGTCCGTGGGGGAGACGAAGCCTCGGACGAAGACGGCGCCGTCGCGCTTCATGAGGGCGATGATCTCCTCGAGAGGAGTGTCTTTGGTCACGTACTGGGGGGCGTTGGGAATGGTCATTGTAAAGTTCAGTTGGTTCCTGTCTACAGGGCACTACGGGAGGCAGGGAAGGCAAGACATTTATATTCAACGCAACGGAGAACGAGACTAGCTTGCTTAACGGGGACCAACCAGGCCAGCATGCGTGGCCGCGACCTGCAGGGCCAGAAAGCGCGAATAGACCCGCGTCTGAGCCAGATTCCCGCCCATGAACCAGAAACCAGGATGCCCGCTTGGACGCCAGACCTAAAAATGGGACCGTCAGCCGGGGTTCAACAGAAGAAGCAAAGAAGAGCAAAGCCAGGAAACCCACCGAATGGAACTCTCCGGTCTCGTCCAACCCCCACACCTGCTTGTTGCAGCGGGCTGCAACCGCCGGTCCCAGCACCCTGCGCACCGACTCGAGGGGCCCATGGTACCCCGTCGCAAGCACCACAATGTCTGCCTCCAGGCGCCCGCCGTCTCCGAGTAGCAGATGGTGCTCGTCAAAGCCAACGACGCCCTCTGCACACTGCTTGACCTGCACCTTGCCGTCGACAATCAGCTGGCTGCATCCAAAATCAATGTAGTAGCCTCCTCCGCGCTTCGCAAACAAGCCGATGATCCCTTGGCCGCTGGGGCCGTGGTTCAGCTTGAACCCGGACTTCTCCAGGCCTTTGAGGAGGTCCCGGTCCGCCTCGGTGATCTGCCTGGTATTGTCACGCAGGAGGTCCAGAGCGACCGGCCACGGCAGACTCTCGGAGAGCAGGTCAACCACCTCGAGCGGGATGGAGGCGTCCTCGACGAATTCGTTCTCCGGCAGCAGCGGCAGCCCTGCCTGGCCCAGCACATACGAGCTCCCGCGCTGGAGGAGCGTCACCTGTGCTCCGTTCTCGTAGAAGTCCTGCGCAATGTCGTGGCCGGTGTTGCCGGTTCCAACCACCACCACCTTCTTCCCCCGCGGATTCAACAACGCGGCGTCTCGATGGTGCTTGCTGTGGTAGACAGTCCCCTGGAAGAGCGGCTGAGTCGGGAGATGCGGCACTTTCTCGACATCGAACTGCCCGGTGCACCAGATGACATGCGACGGCCGGACAACGCGCGCTTGATCCTTATCCTTGCGAAGCACGGTAACAGACCAGGCCTGCTTAGCCTCGTCGTACTCAGCAGACTGAATCGTCGACTCAAGCCAGACATTCAGCTCCATGAGGCTGGCGTAGGCTTCAAACCAGTCGCCCAGCTTGTCCTTGGACGAGTACTTGGGCCAGGTATCGGGGAAGGGAAGGTAGGCGAGATGCGTGACGTTGACGTGGTCGTGCGTCACCAGCGTCCGATAGCGATTCCTCCAGTTGTCGCCCACGCGCCGGTTCTGCTCGATGATGAGGCACGGCACGCCCATGCTCTGCAGGCGCGCGCTGACGTTCAGTCCTGCCTGCCCGGCGCCCACCACGAGCACGGTCGGTTCCTCGTCCGCGAACTCCATCGCCCGACGCCGTCGTTCAATCCAGGTCCCCTGTGCGATGCCGCCGGGCATCGACTCGGTGGTTCCCTCGGCGCGGTTGCGCCCAGCTCGGTCTTCGCGCCCGTGCAGTTGCTGGAGAGAAGTGTAGACTGCGAATGCTTTCCACTCGGATGAATTCTCGTCCAGCGTCAAATACGCCACTCCGGTGCCTGTGCCGCAGTACGTCGAGAAATGGAATATGGCCCGCACCCAGGAAGTGCCTTCCCGCGGCGTCTCCAGCACAGGCTCCTGCGCGGGTTCCGTGGCCAGGCAGACTTTGCTGACAAGGGCGCGTGGTTGGTGTTTGGCGACATAGTCCGAGATCTTGTCGAGCCCTCGTAGCGTATGGAGGTCCCAGTCAAACGCGAGCATGTCTCGCCACCAGGAGTCCTCGTGGAGGAGACCCGAGAGATCTGGCGAGTCATCTGCCAACCGGGTGTTCAACTGCGATATCCATTGTTCAGCGATCTCCCTGGGATTCGCTCCCGCAGGTAAGTCAGGCGTCCGGGGAAGGAGGTTGTCTTCGTCGTGGCTAGGGGGTATCATGTTGCTTCAGTCCCAGCTGGTGTTCCCGAGTATGCTGGTTGCAGGGTTGAAATCTCAATCTGGCCTCGTCAATTTAACTTGCGAAGCCAGCCTCATCTGTCATATTCCACCCTTAGTTGCGATTGAAATACCAGCCCCCTTTCCTCAAGACCAGGTTCCCCTGCTCAGAACTCAGCCTCCGGAGTTTCTGAGCGTTTTCGACGAGTAGCAAAGTACCCTACACACCGGTATCTGGTACCCGAGGTAAATAGTGCATGCAGATGTGATTGACTTGGTTGAGAGGCTGCACCCATTGGGCAATCACTTTCCATGGATCTGACATGTTCCCTGCTTCAATCCTTTGGCAGGGCATCGATCGGCAATCGAGCTGCATCCCACAGCTCACAGCAGCTTCACATTGGCTGATCACCAACCCCCAATTAACCCGGGCGGCTATCCAACCTCTGCTCAGTGGGTGACCGTAGGACCGGAGTAAGCTGACTTGCATTGACATGTACCCACTCAAGAAACGATAGTCGGTTGTTTGATACATCGCCGGAGATCTTCACAGGACAGGGGTGTCCCTGGTACGGTGGTATCTGCTAGGTAGCTGGATCTTACAGGCTTCCCCCAGCCGACCTGTGGTCCAGACTTCGATAGCTCGTGTCACTGTGACTGGGATATACCGGTAAACAGAGCTAGACGTGCTCAAGTCAGTCAACTGTGCAGGCACTCGGCATGGTCTGCCACTCTTACAGAAACGACTGCAAATATATCATCGCATCATATCTCCAAGCACCGCCTCTTCGACAACCAGCAACCGCCTACAGAACGACAACGTAAACCCACACCATGGACAGCACCCTCCACCGCATCCCCGTGGGCTCCACGATCCTCGTAACCGGCGCGAACGGCTACATCGGCTCGCACGTCTGCAACATCCTCCTATCGCTGGGGTACCGAGTGCGCGGCAGCGTCCGCTCGCCAAAGCCCTGGCTAACCGCCTTCTTCGACGCCAGCTACGGACGCGGCCGGTTCGAGGCCGTCATTATCCCGTGTCTAAGTGAGAGCGAGGCATGGGAGAGCGCGGTCGACGGGGTGCAGGGGATCGCGCACGTGGCGTCCGACCTCTCAATGAACCGCGACCCCGAAAAGGTCGTGCCGCAGATGGTGCAGGGGGTGCGGAATGCGCTGGAGGCGGCGGCGAGACACCCGCTGGTTAAGCGGGTCGTGTATACATCCTCGTCCACCGCGGCGTTTATCTCGGTGCCGAATAAAGAGGGGGTGCGGATTACGCGAGGTGCGTTCTTGCCTGTTCTTTCCCTTTTGCTCCGTCGAGTTGAAATGCCCTAACTAGAGCAGACACCTGGCACGATGCGTCCATTGCCGCCGCATGGGCCACAGACACGCCGGACGACGAGAGAGGGTACCAGGTGTACTGTGCATCCAAGACGCTGGCGGAAAAGGGCGCATGGGAGTGGGTGCAGCGCAACAAGCCGCATTTCGAGTTCAGCTCGGTCGTCCCCAACACCAACTACGGCCGCATCCTGTGCCCGGAGATCCCTGCGCCCAGCATGGCCTGGACGGGCAATCTGCTGCACGGCGACGACACCGTCATGCGGAGTTTCCCGCCGCGTAAGCTCCACTGATCCCCTGCTTCCAAGTTCCTGGCCGGGCTAATTCCTCTCACCTGCAGAGTGGTTTGTGGACGTGGAAGATACCGCGCGACTGCATGTCGTCGCCCTCCTCAGCCCGTCTGCGGTCGGAAAGCGACTCTTTGCGTTTGCGCAGGCGTTCAACTGGACTGATATCCTTACTATCCTCCGAGAGCTTCGGCCGGATAATACCCAGCTCCCGCCGAGTCCTGAGAATGAAGGAAGAGACCTCAGCGAGATTGTCGATGCGCCCGAAGCAGAGGCCTTGATGAACGAGTTCTTTGGCACAAAGGGCTGGGTTGGCTTGAAGGAGAGTCTGGAGGCTGGTCTTGAGGGGCGTTGGTAATCTACGGAGTGGATTGGAGATTAAGACCAAGAATAGCATCAACCCATGTTGGATGTAGTCCGTGAAGTCCGTGCCCGAGCGCCCAATGGCTGCAGCCGCGCTGTAATTCTTTCTTCTCCTTGGGTATATCTACAGGCCCTCTCCCCTCGCAAAGAAAGTCCCCAAGGACCTTAAGCCCCGCAAGCCATTCCCCATGTCTGTCACCCACATGGTCGTCTTCCACTTCAAGGAGAGCACCAGCGACGCGAAGATCGAGGAGGTGAGTCTGCACCCGTCACATCCACCAGCCACTTCTCAATGCTAACGGCCAGTCTGCTCAGATATGCCGAGAAATTATCGCCCTGAAAGAGAACTGCATCCATCCGAAAACGCAAAAGCCCTACATCAAGTCCTTCGAGGGTGGGAAGGACCACTCCCCGGAGAACGCCCAGGTATGCTATGCCGCTGTGCTTTCTCATTCCCCGCATCCGCATCCAGAACGCTGACACACAGCAGCATGGGATGACGCATGGGTACGTGGCGCAGTTTGAGAGCCGAGAGGACCGCGACTACTACGTCTCCGAGGACCCGGTGCACCTGGAGCTAGGGCCGAGAATTGCGCCGTTCGTGGAGAAGTTCCTGTGTCTGGACTTTACGCCGGAGCAGTGGGTGTGATTGAGCGTGTGGCTTGCAGAGAATGCAAATCATTGTCGAGTTTTGCCGCTTCGGCTGGAATTAGGTAGCACAAATGAAGCGCCACTTACCTAGCCAATGTACGAAGGCTGAAGGCAATGCCGGAACCCAGATTTGAAAATGACTGCTCGGGTCTCCGGAATGTGTGTTTGCTTTTTTATATCAGACAGGGGATCCCAGACATGTACTGTGGCCCCCCAACCCCAAGTAGACATCGATGCGGCAGGTCCAGCATGAGGACTAGGGGTATCGGCTCTGGTAAGCTATCCCAGGGCCGGGTTGGAGGCCTGCGAATATCGTCGTGGCCTTCTGTGTCCGAAATCCGAGCAATCCGTACAGAATCGCAAAAATGGGACTTCGATAGCTCTGAAGCGACAAGGATTGCGCAGTTGAGCATCTGCAGCATTTGCTGCAAGTCCTCGTCACACTGGTGTGATACTGATTCCAGAGCAGCAAACACTAGGCATGCATGCCTCGAAACGTACTCCGTAAAGTAACTCCGATGTCCAAGTGGTTGGTGACGACCTGCAGGCTACCTGCAAGCCACATATGTTCGCTTCGAGCGTGTTGGCACTTTGACCTGCCCCCGGAGTTCCATTGGCTATGCAAGGTGACAGACAGAATGGGAGAGGTCAAATCGTGTCCATTGTTTTCATTGCTGCCAACTCTCGAGCCCACTGGGTGCAGCGTCAGCGTCTATCCGCAACAATGGAAACACATGGGCTTGAACTAAGCGGGAGATGTATCGTAAACGCATTGTAGCAGAACAAGTTCGCTTGGTGGGTACAAAGATACAGGCCGAAATCTGTGAGCGTCGGGAAATCAATATATTGTCGAGCCGCCAACGTCATGTAGTGATTATTCGTCACCACCACCATCCCGACGTTCCAACTACCTCCGAGTTCAAGCTAGTTGTCACCCTGTATACAGACCATACGCTTAAACGACCAGTCCTACGGTATTTGACGTGACTTTATAAGTCGATAAGTGGATCAATCGACATTTGGAGAAGCCCACCATGCCTCTTGAATAGCTCCATGAGATCGATCACAATCTAAACATTATTTAAGAGCAGAGCGTCTCATTACAGGACAGGGAGGGCGTATTCCTCCTCCAAAAACCTCTCCAGCGCCTGCAGGGCTTCCCTCAGCTGCTCCGTCTGGCAGCCAAACCCCAACCGCACATAGCCTTTGAATTCGACTCCATTGCCATAGCATTTGCTCCCAGGCACGAGGAGGACACTCTTCTCTCGCAACAGTCGGATACAGAAGTCGACATCGTCAACTGGTCTGCCGGAACGTGTGAGTTTGATGAACCCGATGGGAGTCGCTACCGGCGGAGTCCACTGGCAAATAGAAGGATGTCGATCAATCAGTTCCTGGACAAGGGCTAGGTTCCGGCGGACTAGCGTTATGTTCTTTGCGATCAGAGTATCAAGGCGCGGTGGGCTGAGGGCGAACGCGGCCAGTTGGTCGTCGAGCTGGCTGACGGTGATGAGAGCGTAAGCCCGCGCATTGATGCAGAGATCGAGGATGGTTGGATCGTGCGAGGCAAGCCACCCGATGCGGATTCCAGCCAGGGAGTAAGCCTTGGATAATGTGCTGGTTACAATGACGTTCTTGTATCCGAACGAGAGGATTGACGGTGGGCGCTCGGGATCTGTGGTCGGGATCGAATGGAACAGGGGATAATAGATCTCGTCGCAGAGAATGGTGATCGAATGGTGCGTTGCCAAAGCTACTATCGCAGCCAGCTTGGACTTGGGGATTGCTGTACCGGTCGGATTGACGGGGTTGCTGTGATTGTCAGCGACTCCCTTGCTTGGGCTCAGGGCTACCCACTTGAGGATGATCATCTTGGTGTTGGGGCGGACAAGACCCTTGAGCTCGTCGACGTCAAGCGCCCAGCCCTCGTCCTCTTTTGCCTTCCACAGACTCACCTCTGCTCCTACCCCCGCCGGAAGGGCGTAGAGCTGCTGGTAGGTTGGGTATTGCACGATGACATGGTCGGCCGGTCCAACCAAGGCATAGACGGCAATGAAGTTGGCAAGGGAGCCGCCAGGCGTGATGAGGATATTGTCAGCAGCAGGGGCGCCAGGTGACTCTTTTGAGTACAGGTTGGATATATTTTGCCGGAGGGCCTCAGAGCCTTTCAGTGGACCATAATTCATCGGTGTCGCCAGCAGCGAGGTCCAAGGGTCTTTGTCTCCGTCGTCGGCTGTCGAGAGCGAGGAAAGCTCATTGACCGAGATGGAAGCACAGTAGGAGCTGGCCAGGTTGTGCTTGGCCCTTGGGCCGTGTGTCATGATCCACTGCCAACATTGTCAGCAGGGCAGTGCAAATGGCGGGACATGGCCTACTCGATCAATCTCAAAGGTCTCGATTTTCACCATGATGAAACAAGTGTTGCTAAGGGGAAGAATACCAGGGACTCTCCGGGTCATTTCATATGGACAAGATGGCCGCGGGGTGTTTCTGCAGTCCAGAGTACACGACGTGGCGCACCTGAATTCCATGCAAGGAGTCCCGTCTGCTCATAATGACTGGGCATCTCTGCTTGCAACTGCACATGGCAGAGTTCACCTGGAGATAAAGTTTGGCCTGGTGTCACTGCTGGGGATTTGCGGCACAGCTGGCCGGTTGGTGCGACCACGGATGGCCCCGGATATGGAGTCTTGAACATGTGAAGCCATGATCTCGCACTGATAAGAATAGGAGATGTCTCGGGCGAAGATGCCCTTCTGGTACAGGCCTAACTCCGAGGCCTGTCGATGCCACGAAGCATAAGACCATTGCCATCGATCTCCCGGCGTGGTTCAAACTTCAACAGCCCTGAGAGAAGACATCCACAAGGTCTAATTAAGCTTTACCGTGCTCTTCGTCAACCAGAGCATGGCGTGCACCGAGTTGGGCGCTCGGAGATGGACGGCCAACGGTCGGGGATGAGATCATCGCTGGCTCCACCGCCGCCATCGAGTTTTTTTCGGCTCCAGGAGCGACCGTCAACCTTTCTCAACCTTCTTAGCTCTCGTGAGAGATGGCCGCAATCATCCAGTACCGTGGCCTGCGCAAGTTCGTGCAGCAACAGCTGCAGGAGCACCTGTCGGACAAGGAAAGCGGCACCGACTACACCCAGATCCCCGGCATTTCCACCGAGCTCGACCACAACGGCGTGGAGTATTTCCAGGTCGACTGGGCTGGCGCTGAGGATCCGTTCTGGCCTCAGAAATGGTCGACTCCTCGGCGCGTGGGCGCGACTCTGTCTGTGTGTCTGATCGCCCTGGTCACGACCATGGCGTCCTCCATTGACTCTGCGGTTATCAGCGAGGCTGCCGCCGAGTTTGGCGTCTCGGAAGTCACGGAGTCACTGGCGACGGCGCTGTATCTGATCGGCTTTGGCGTGGGTGCGCTTGTGGCGAGTCCGCTGTCTGAAATGATCGGGCGCTACCCGGTCTACCTGGGGGCTCTGGCCATCTTTGGAGCCTGGATCCTCGGGGCAGCGCTGGCCCCCAACATCGGCGCCCAATTTGCCTTTCGCTTTCTGGCTGGCTTATGCGGTGCTGCGCCCTTGACTGTGGCTGGGGGTTCTGTCTCGGACCTCTGGAACACGCTGGAGAAGACCTTTGGCTTCCCTGTTTTTGCCATCCCCGGCTTTGGCGGGCCTATCTTGGGTATGTCTCCCGTGCTCCGTACCCTACAGTGCTGACTGTTGCAACAGGCCCTGTTGTGGGAGCATACATCGGGTATAGCTCGGCCATCAGCTGGAGATGGTCGGAATGGATCATGCTGGTCATGGACGGTCTGGTCATTGCCGTCATCCTGCTGTTCAAGCGCGAAACATTCGGCCCCAGACTGCTCTACTTCAAAGCCCGCTTCTTCCGACAGGAGACCGGCGATAGTCGCTTCAAGACCAAGGAGGAGGCATCGGGTGACGAAGACACCCTTGCCGTACTGAAACGACATTTCTCGCGGCCGTGGATCCTCCTTACAGAACCGATTGTCATTGCCTTTACCTTTTACCTCACGGTGGTTTACATCGTCCTGTTCACCTTCTTGGACGGCTATGTCACCATTTTCGGCGACACCTATGGCATCAACAACGGGCTGGTGAACATCTGCTTCGTTGGCCTCTTCATCGGGATCCTACTCGCCATGTTCCTGGTGCCAATCCTATACCGCCGAACCGCCAACCAGCTTCAGCGAGATGGCGATGACGGGTCAGGGAAGATGCTGAAGCAAGAGTCTCGCCTGTTCTTCGCTTTCTGTGGTGCGCCCGCTGTACCGGTGGGATTGTTCTGGATGGGATGGACTGCCTACGTACGTCTCCCCTGTCTTCCTGATACATCATCCCTAACCCTTATCCAGCCCGACATTCCAATCTGGTCGCCCCTCGCAGCATCGATCCTCATCGGCTTCGGCATCATCTGCATCTTCCTCTCCGCGTACATGTACACCATCGATTCCTACGGCCACTACGCCGCATCGGCTCTGACATTCATCGCTCTCGTCCGGTATCTCGCGGCTGGTGGAATGACGGTCGTCGGTATTCCAATGTACAACAACCTCGGTACGCACTGGACCTTGACCGTCCTGGGGATCATCAGCGCCGTGGCCATGCCGATTCCCTACGCGCTCGCCAAATGGGGGCCTTCGCTTCGGAAGCGGAGCAAGTGGGCGATTAGCAAGGCGCGATAGGTCTCGGCTGAGATGTGGCTTTTGGGATTGGACGGTGACCATGGCTAGAATGGGCTTTTGCAGTAATGTGCAGTGGTTCTATATACAGGGGGGATGTGTATTCGTGCATGGTAGATCTCCGTTCGAACATCAATGAATAGAACATAGATGCCGGTCGCTGGTAGAGACCGGTCCGGCAATACATCATATATAATGTTATCAAATGAGTCCTGATCCAGTACCTTAAGCTCTCGGAAGCACAGCCGCACTTGTAGCACATAACCGGCAAACCCTGCCATCCGACTCACCTAGATAGCCTGACCCAACCAAGTGTTAGGCAGAGTCCCAGCAGAGTCGCTGGCTCCGGCAGCGATGTCCGTGGCAAAGAAAGGGAAAATGACGCCCGCGCCGTCAATGTCCCCGTTTGAAGTTTGATGCCAGCTAAGAATGGGAAATGGGGTTGGAAGTGCTTGCCTCGCCAGATTGAAGCCTGATCATTTACCACTCCTCCCCTCCTTGAGTGAGTATCTCCCCCAATGATACCCTACATGGTTACATGAACCTCAAGGGCGTCGAGTGCTAAAAGATATATCCAAGGAGGACGGCTATGGAACTTGTCTTTTGCGGCGGGCTTTGCATGTAGTCTATGCACGCTGCCAGGAATATACAGATTTTGAGGCCGTTCCACCACAGGAATGTTTCCTACGCGAGGCAGTGGGACGCAAGAAAATAGGAAATCATGGCTTTTCTGGCGATTTTTAATTCTTTCTGTATTTCTCGCCGAGTCAACGCTATTGAGTATCTGTGTTAGCAATCTTTCGGCAAGTCCCCATTGATCACTACAACTTTCAGTCCAGGATCTAAAAAGCAAGAATCTCATCACGCACCGCCCCGGGGGCTTCCAGGGGAATCAGATGCTTGACGCCCTCCACACTGCGGAACGAAACATGCGCGCCCATACCCTCCAGGACATGGCAGACCTGTGTCTGCACCCTCTCCTTGGGCTCCACAACGTCCAGCTCCCCAACCAGGACGCGAACCGGGAGACCATGTTCTCGCAGTCTCTCCGGCACTCGGTCGCTGATGTCCTGCTCCATCCCGTACACCGGCCAGGCGGCCTTGGCTGGAGCATTCCCACTCAGGCTACCACGGACTATACCATCGATATCCTCCTCCGAGAGACGGTCGCGATTGGCGAGGACGTTCTCGACGGTCCAACGCACGGAGGCTTCTGTCTCATAGGCAACCCTCTGTTGCTGTTTCATTTCGGGCGGGAGTACAAGGGGCGTTGGGGGCGCGGGGGCTACGAGCACGAAGCCCTTGAGCTGCTTGAGCAGGTGGTCCGGCAATGCAGAGGGTGTGGCTAGCGCCACCTTTGCGCCCATCGAGTGTCCGACTAGGACAAAGCCGTCGTTTAGAAGGTCCTTGTTGTTGTCATCCGCTTGGAGCTGGGACAATACCGAAGCGATGTCGCTGGCCATGGCAGTGACAAGATATGCGCTGCCGTCATCATTTTGTGGACCTGTGGACTTGCCCCATCCTCGAAGGTCGACGGCGGCAGTAGGGTACTCGGAGGATAGTGAAGTTTTGGAGTCGGTCGCAGTCAGTTTGTGCCATGTTGAAGACGAGCCGCCCCAGTAGTGTAGGAATATGATGAGAGGCTTGGTGGTGGTGGTGCTGGGCCGCGTTAGGCGGATGTGCAGCGAGGTATCAGGGGCAGTGGAAAGGAACAAGGAAGACATGTTGATTATGGATATGATGCTGAGTAGAACTATTGCTGGGAGTCCGTGTGCATATATACTTCCGATGCAATCATTTGATTGTTTTGGACTGTTTGCACGGCCCCATCGCAGTAAGCACTAACAGTCCGCAGTAACCTGAAGAGTTCTAGCTGGTTAGATATGTTTGCATTGTTCTGCTTATGAGTATGCCATTGGCTGGCCCGTCTATACCTGCGAGAACTGTGGCGTCAGCTTCGTTTCGTCTTCGCAAAAAGAGTCTCACCAATACCTACCTACCCACCACGGAAGCCAAGTTTCGAATTCTTGGCACACCGCCAAGTACTGCCAAATTGTTAGTGTAGTTATAAAGCGCCTGAAATTTAGAGATTTTATATAATACCTATAAAAAAAAGCCAAGCATAGCTAAGCTAGTATTTTTTATATAAATTTTTTTATATTTAAGTTACTGCTAGCTAATGCTTAACTTTGCTAGTTAAGTTTACTTTTAAAATTTTAATTAAATTAAATAAATTAAATAAATTAATATATAAACGCGCAAAAAAATAAGGTATTATAATAATAATTTTAAATTACTATTACCACGCCTAGCGGTATAAAAATAAAATAAAAAATAGTTTATTTAAATTTTTAAGTAATTTTTTAATAATAAATCCTTTTTTAAACTTCCCCGTGTTTAAAATTACTAAATTTAAAAATGCTTTTAACCTAGCACCGCACCCAATTTTTAAAAAGTATGTAAAATATAAACCTTAAACTAAAAAATTTATACCCTTTTTTAACTATAAGGTTACGAATAAAAAAAAAGAGGAGAAAAATAGCTTTAAGGTATAAAATTAATTATTTTTTAAGTAATATATAGCTATATTTTTTTTTATAATTTAAAATATAAGGTTAAAAAAATTTAATTAATTCTTTTTATTTTTTATAAACTTATTTAGTATGCTATTTCCAGGCATGGCTATTTTAAAAAAATAAAGCTTTAATTTACTAGCCTTAATATTAAATTTATTATAAATTATATTTACTTTATCAGGGCCAATGTTTTTCCATTTGACGTCACCGGAGCCAATCCACTGTTAGTTTAAAGTTAGCGCCTTAGGTAACCTAAGCTTTGGCCTTAGGCCATTAAGGCTTGGCATACCTTATTATTATATTAAATTATATAACTTAACTAGGTTATTAATATTTAAAAACTTAGTTATTAATTAAGCAAGGCTAGGGTAGACCTTAAATATAAATTAAAGTAAAAACTTATATATAAAGTATTTAAATTTATATTTATTTTTTAATTAAAAATAACTTAAGTATAACTTAAAGGTTTATAAAGGTAGCCTTAAGGCTAGCCTTTTTTTTAAATTTTTAAATAATTTTTTTAATATTATTTAATAGGATTTAAAATACTTTATTTTTATTAATTAAATTTTTTTATTAATATTTTTATTATTAATAAAAATTTTTAAAACTTATTAATTTTATAGTTAAAGTTGCTTGTACTTACTACTTTTTAAATTTTTTTAATAATAATATTTTAAATTAAATTTTTAAAGGGTAAGTAAAAGTAGTTTACAAGTATTTTAATTAAGGTTTTTAAAACTTAAACTTAAATAACTAAAAAGTATTTTTTTTTATTTATACTGTGGAGGGGCAGTACTAGAGCATGGGAGCTAAAGGAGCTAAACAGTGGCGGAAACCTAGGACTGGACGGTATATAGTATAAGTAGGAATAATAGTAAAAAAAAAAATATATATATTAGGATAAATAATTAACTAGGTATAGAAGGCTAGTAATAAGGCTATAAATACTATAAAAATTAATATTAGGGTGCAACCCTATTATATTTTTTTAAAAGGGGGCTAAAACTTACTAGTAAGTAAGACTTTTTTTTATTTATATTTTTTATTTTTTTTTAAGGTAATATTTTAAAGTATAATAATTAACTATGCTTTACTTAGCTAGCTTTTGCTAGGCCTTTTTTTTTACCTTTTTTATTTTTTTTTTTTTTTTATTAGTGTTATATATAGGCAATAATTAAGTAGTTTAGTAAACATGTTTTAAAGCTTATTAATTTTACCAGGGCAAAAAGTGCTAATAATAGTTAATAAGTAGCTTAGCTTTATTTAATACTTTTTTAATAGCCATGGCCACGTGGGCGGGAATAAAAATAAAAAGTAATATTATTTTATAATAATTATAGCTAAAGTTATTAAAATACTTTTTTTTTAACTTTTAAAACCGCATGTATATATTTATAGTAATAAAAATAGCCTTTTTTTTTAGGACTTAAAAAAGTTATGCCTAATAAATATATTTAGGCTAAATACTAGCTTTATTTTATTAACTACCTTAGCTAAATTTTATTTATAATATTTTATTAAGATATTACTAATAGCTCCTAGCCCCTAAAGTTAAATAATTAAGGTAAATAATTATAAAATCTTTAAGTAATAATTTAAAAAACTAAACAGGGAGGTAAAGCCGGGCATAAAATTATAATATATAATAGCTAATTTTTTTTAGGTGCCTTTTTTTACTATTTTAAGTATTTAATAATTAGCTAATATAGTAATATACTAGGGTAGTACTATACGCCTTATTTTTATAGCTAGTTTAATAAATTTATATAATACTAATAGGTATATAATTTATATAATAAGCCGCAAGCAAGGGTTTTTTTTTTAATTTATATAAAAATATTTAATATTATTTTTAGTTTACTTTTTATTTTCCACGCGGTTAATTAAATTAAAAAAATTATTAATACTATCTCGCGCCTTTACCCATGCTAGCTATGCCTTTATTTTATTTTTTTAATACATGCCTAGTAAAACCTTAGTACAATTATTATTATTTTTTATATTTAATAATAATAATTTTTAAATAATATTTATTTTTTATTTATTTTAAAGCGCTTGGTTAATATTAATATTTATATATTAAAAATAGGTATGGTTTTCTTACTAGGCGTACTTTATGTAGTATAAATATAAAATTAGTTAGTACTTATAATTAGGCCTTAATATAATATACCAGGCTTAATAAAATAGGTCCTAGTATATAAATTATTAAATAATAGTATAATAAATATTTTATAGCTAGCTATAGTTTAGCGCCCCTTAGTACTTATATAAATAGTAAAAATAAATATTTATTTTTTTTTAAGCAAGGTTTAAAAATTAAGTATTTAATTTATATCCCTTAGGCGCTAGATTTTTAAGTTTTTTAGCTAAATAATTAAAAAAACTATTAATATTAATAAAACCTTAATTATTAAATAAACCTTTATAATTTTTTTTTTATAATTTACTAGGAAGAGTGCCGCGGGTAATTTTTATAATATTAAGGTATAAAAATAACTTAAAAAGCTAGAAATACTTATAATAATATTAATAAATACCTAGTATATTTTCCAGGCGTAAAGGTTAAATTTTTTATTAAAATTATATAAAGTAAGCCTTGCTTGCTATAATATTACTTAAGTTTAAATAATTTTTTAAAATAAATTTAATATAAGGGTATAGTATTTTATTAAGTAAGTTAATTTTTATACTAATCTTTTCCCTTAGTTATTTTATATAAAGGTAATATATATATTAGTGCTTTTTTTTTAGTGCTAGTATAGTCCCTTTATAAATTTATTATAAAATACATGCTTATAGGGCAGCGCTTTACTTTTTACTAGTTTTAATTATAAAATTAATAATAGTTAGTACTTATATATAATAGTAGGTATTTTTACTTTTAATAAGCAGGGCTAATACTTTTATAAACTTAAATAAATATAGGTTTTTAGTAACTTCCTGCGCTAGGTTAGTTATGCTATTTTATAATACCTTTTATATAATTATTTTTATTACTTAATAGCTAGCAGCACATGGTGGTAATTTTTTTAATTAGCTAGTTATTTTTTATTTAGGCGGATATAAAATACTAGTAATAAATATTTAATTTATACCTATTAATATATATAAAATTATAATATTATAAGCTAACCCTTAATTAATTATACTTACCTATTTTTAATAGCGGGCTCCTAGGGCTAGTAAGTTAAAAAATATAATATTATTAATATACTAAAAGTGGGTTAAAACGCGACTTTTAAATTTACTAAGTATTTTTTAAAAAATAGTATTATAAGTAACAGCGTGTTTTATAAGTTTAGTTTTAGCTAGTTATAAAAAGCCTAAGGTATATAATTTAGCCTAGCTTTAAATAATTAAATTATAACTAAATAATAAAATAAGGCTAGATTAAGGTAATAATTAAATTAATAGCTAATTTAAGGCGCGGGGAGTCCTAGCTAGGTCTAGTATATAAATAAATATATAAAAAGTTATTAGCTAATTTTTTTTAACCTTATTATTTATAAAGTTTTAGGTATAAATAAGTTTATTATTTTTTATAATTAATCCTAACTTTTTTAAGTAATAGCTATTATAACTAGGTTAAAAGGGCATGCTTAGGGCATGATTAATATTTTTAGGCGTAATAACTAATATTATATATTTTTTTTATTTTTTATTACCCACGCGATTTACCATAGCATTATTAATATTATTTTAAATAGCTTGCTATTTAATATTTAAACTTAAGCTATTAAATATTTTTTAAACCTTTTTAGCTAATAATTATAATTACACATGCTTAAAAATATTTATAATAATATTTATTTAATTCTTGTTATTATAATACTTAAAAATAAAAATATTTTAAATTCCCTTTATTTTAGCGCGCTACTTTTTTATATTTTTAATAGTTTTTTTAGCTATATTTTAAAACTTGTTTTTATTAATGGTTATAAAGTTAGTTACTTTTCATGCCTTAGCCTTTAAAACATGTTTTTAAAGCTTTATAATAGTATTCTTTAAATTATTTTTTATAATAAATAGCACTATAAATAGCTTTTTTTATTATTTATACTACATGTTAAGCAGCGCGTTTTTAATAACTTAAATAGCTTTTTTTATACTAGTATAAATTACTAGTTTAATTTTAATTAATT